TACTTCCTTAATCACACACATAATATGCATTTAATAGTATCTATATCCTACTAAAGTTATAAGTTGAAACATAAATATCCTTCAAAGGTCCAACGTTTTTGCATTTACTTTCATAGATTTGACATTTACTGTTTTTACAGTTTCTCACTGTAAAAACGTGTAAAATTGATCATAATTCACTGTCAGAGTCTTGATTAAAAGAACCATTCTCCGTGAAGTAGCATTGTGTTTGTCTCAAGCATCATATCAATACTGCGTGGCAAACTTTCTCCTCTCCAATTCCAGTGCAATTAAAAGAATGTTGTGATTTATTGATATTATTGAAGATCCATATGCACTGTTTAACTACCAACAAGAACGGCATTACTATACTCTTCTCAAATAATAGTTCTGCCAAGATAGGGAAAACATGGTTTTAGTCAAAACAGTAAAATCCTCATAGTTGTGTTAAAATAACGTAGAATGAAATTAAATATACTGCTAAAGAATAGATGCATCAATAAAGTGTACCACCATCAGCAGACTGTGTACATTGATGTTTAGTTAAGCTTCACATGTGTTGATTGGCATTACGTTTTACTCACTCAATGCTTTTGTTGGTGGGATTGTTTAGTTTTAGGTAGAAGGAGGGAGATTGGTTACGGTTGGTTAGGGTTAGGGCAGGAATATCAGGGGCAGCCATTTAGAGGCATTTTTGGTCGAATCGTTGCCTTAACAACTCATGACTTAACCTAACTTCTCAGTACATGCCAAACTGAGAGGTTTTAGCTCATAGAATATGCTCACGGACACATAATCCTCACTATCAGGTACACAGTATTTTCTATTATTAATATAAACACACATGTGCAGTGTTGAAATTATACACTATAACTTTATAGAATAGGCCCGTTTTCAAATAGAACAAATAGTTTGTATGCAATCAAATTCAAAAGCTCTATAGCATTATTGTAACAATATACTGTATATATATCTTTTTTTTTAAATCAAGAAAGAAATGTTCCTGTGTAAAACCTGCTTGTAATTGCATCCTACAAATGCCTCCAATAAATTATGTTGAAATGATTTGCATAATAAATAGCGGTTTATTAAACCCTGTAAATAATACCTGCTGCAGAATTAGGACCTCGAGCCTCACCTCCAGCGATGCACCATTTATCCCCACAGCTGCCACCTGTCACACCAGCAGCACCGTCGTTCATTACAAAAAGATAATAAGACGCTCAGCAAGAGAGAGCTGTGTAAGAGGAATATCTTTCATCATACTCTTATCGTACAGTGTGGACTGTCTAGCAGCCCATAAAATGTAATCATGATGATCAAGTGGTGTTATTGACTGTGGTTGTAACAGAGTGTCCGATGTGTTGGGGACAGTCGAGAGCCTCTCGCACTGAACAGCGTTTTGAGCTAAGGGATCTTCTTCTCACTGCACTGCCTTTTAATCTTAACAAATAATCAAGTGCGATTCATTGACAACCAAATCTGGGATCCTATCCGGGACCTTCAGTTTCACTGGGAAGTTCTCTGATGTATGGTATTGATTGCAACAGGGAGCCCTCTAATCGGAATCATGGGGAAATCGATAGCTGGCGTTGCCTGTGGTCCTGTTCATGCTTCGGTGTACACATCTGAAGTGAACTCCCCAGCACTGAAACAGTCCGGCCATTGGCTTTAAGAAAATCGAGACTCGTTGCAATAGGGAGGACCGTGGAGATGAACTGGAGGAGACAGAGATAAAGGAGGAAAGTGCCCAGACGGGTGCAAGCAGAGGCAAGGTCATCCTGTTTGATTGAAAACTGTTCTGCAGGTTTTTGTAGTCAAAACTTCAATCCATCAAGCTTCTGGGGAGCAGGGGACAAGCGAGCCGCTGACCTCGACCTGATCCACAGGCGACAACCAGCCACCGAGCTGTCCCGCTGTTGTCTCGTCTGGCTCCCTCCGTGCCCTGACCGCTCTGATCTCTCCGCCGTCTCGAGTTGCAGGGCCGCCATCGTGTGTCCACTCACCGCATTTCCCCCGTAGCGGCAGAGGGACGGACCCGGTGAAGGGGCGGCTTGAAACAAGGCTTGCATGTTCGCCGTCTTACAGCCGCAACCCATGAACTGTTACACTTTCCTGAAGGCAGTTTCAGTAAGTGAAGCAGACAAAGAGGAGCTCAGAGGAGCCGCGCAGAGACTCCTGGGCTTCCACCAGCATCTGGTCCGGTTCCAGGTTGAGGCAGACTGCAACCCTGGCATCCGGCCACGAACTGGCAACCGAAAATTGCTGCTTACCCTCACAAACCGAGGACAACGGAGAAGAGACACATTTAGTGAAGCGGGAGGATCCAAGAACAATAAACAGGGCGGTGAAGGACAAGGGATTTTATGCAAAGGAACATTGAGAATGGAAGGGGGCCACTGTGTATTTAAGACCCCTGTTTTATCGTTTGCTCGAGGTTTGCTTTGCCAAATATGTCTTTGTGGAAACATATCCTGCATTCATTCTGTGAGTTTCCATCCCAGGAAGTCAGAGGGGGAGAAACATGGTTGTCTGTGGCATTTTTGTTGCATGAATTAGCTTTATATATGTTAGCATGTGCATACTGAGAAGTCCCTTCTCATACAGTACATGTCAGCAAGTTTTCAGTTTGTTTTCAAACCTGAATGATCTCCAATCTCTTGCATGAGCAGCTGCACACACATTGTTTCGAACATTATCACTTCATAAAGACGATGAGGCATGTAACATGTTAGCATGCAGTTTCCTTCAAACACATCGAGCAAATACAAAACACCATTATAATTAATCGGAGGCTTGTTTCTGACCACCTGATGGATGTAAGTCTAAACATCCATCTGTTCTGGTCTCTTGCAACTCCTGTGAGAAACAATCTTTGTTTTAACTGCATGCTCCACTATTTTCCCCAGTTGGCCCCCAACAGTGTCTGCCCGTTGTTTGGTGCTGGGTAGTTTCACTGCAAACTGCTGCCTGCTGCGACTGGAAACACACTTTATAAGTGTGAATCAAAACTTAGACACCGCAGGCAGCCTCCACTGCAGAGTTTCCTGTTGTTAAAACAGTAGCACAGTGTGTGAACATAATACTAATAGAGACATGTTCCGGAACAAAAACAATTAAAGTGAACATAGAAACTATACTTATTTCAACCTGCACCACAATTGTTTTTCGCATACATAATAAACTTCAGGTGCAATAATGATACCTGTGGGTTTAGCTCGCGTTTCATGGTTTGAGCTGATGAAGCTGCCGTGACATGCTTGGTGAGTTGGTGAGAACGCGTTGGGTATTAAACACCACCACTTACCAGACGATAACTAACGTACCGCAGCACTGCGAAACCAGTGAGGGGGAAGTGCCCCACCAGCAATCGGCACCAATCGCCATAAGGGGAACAATTACCATAACATTAAATAGTGATAAACACCACTGCACAATGATCATGGGGACACCGGAGCTGTCAGCACGCCATCCGTCAAAACCGCGCTTCAGGGTCGCCACAGTCAAGGTGGTGATACATTACACGGGACAGAAACAGGTGCTGCAATAGATTCCAATCACTTTGTTTAATCAATTATGTACAAATGCTTGCGCGGCCCGGGGCCTGTCACACGCCGCTGTGCCTCCTACTCCTTCTCTGCACCAATGTGGCTACATAGCAGGCAGAGTTTTTCAACACTGCTTTGTGCGGATGCCTTGAGGTGACTGGAGACGTTTGTTTTTTCTAAGGCGGAATTCGTAAGGGTTGAACAGTTTCAAGCAATGCAGGGAAGGAGAAAACCGTCATTATGCATATCCCACTGACATCTGAATTCGTGTGTTGTGTCTTCTCTGGTAAATTCTTTTCTCTCGCACTCAGTGCAGACACACAGGTGCTCTGCTGTGTTGTGCTTTCAAGCTGTAACGGTCTTCCAGGCACTTGTGGTTTCTGCCTTTTGTTTTGCGCACTCCTCAAGTTCTCTCTCTGCCGTTCTGTGCACAAAAGAATTATGGTAATGCGAGGGTAGACATCTGCTTGCAGCTCACTTCTTTCCTACGCGTTTAGGCATGTGTGTCACTCGTACGGAGAATCTGCTCTTCGGTAAAAATCTGTAATATGGAGTTATTTCAATATAAAACGTGTATAATAGTGAATCAGTTAGTAACTCAAGCTCGCCGTACAGCATGTCAGTGCTGAAGGTTCTTGAAGTGGGCTGAAACTAATAGCCATATTTGTTAAAATGTGAATGAGGCTTTTCTCACTCAGAGCAGTGTGTCTGAAGATCAGATCATTTTTTGGTGCCAAAAATAAATAAAACCATGAGGAAAAGGAAGGAGGAAAAGGCTTAGTCTGAGGGGAAAAACACAAGGGGAAATGAGCCGTGTCGGATGGAAAAACAAAGCTTTGACTTAACGCGATAGTAGCAAAGCCGAAAATGTGAATCTATGCAGCAGAACAGTAAATACTGACACAAAGCACAAACTCTGTTTAAAAAGGAAGCACTGCTTGGATAGATGAAATAAAAACGTATGTTTCTTAATTCCAATGGAGGGTCAGCATACATTGCCTAAAATGTATTAATTAATTAATTATCAGGGAATTTCAGCTGTTAGAAAATGCAGTGACTTCAGGTCAGAATTGAAATAAATAAACTGAATTAAAGACACAACATATGTTAATCTGAATGTAAGTGAATGGCGATGGGTATCACTGTCTGTTGATATGATAATTAAAATATTATGTTTTAAAAGCAGCATAGGGAATGTATTGCATTTAGACATTTTTTTTTCAGAACTAACTGAATATAACAATTGATTTTATGTAATAGACTTTATAGCATAAAGAGCACACAAGCTATCTTTCACTGTATTTGTATTGTCTGCCTCCAGACTCTCAACAGGAGATTCCCATCAGAGGTGTGTCTAAAAAGAACTACGATGTCGGACTGATTTAAAAAATTTGGTCACATGTGTTTGCCCAGCATGTTTGTTATCTGAACTGTTGCAATTATTTATTCATCTATCATATCACACTGAAGAAATGAATTGAAATTAGAAAAATAAAATTCTTAAAACGGTGAAGCAGAGAAAAGCAGCGTGTGCCTTTTTCTTTTTGGATCCATCATTTAATTTACTGGAGGCAAAAACAAACATACACACAGCTTCTTTCTTAAAACTTTACACCGCTTAGGATTTTCAACTGACAGGAGCCCTCTTGTACCCCCCCTGGTACAACCGATATCCAGTTATATCTCTGAAGTGATACGCTAAATACATTTAGGCAGCACACCTGCCTGTGAGCAGCAGTCACAGACTGTTAACCTCAAGATCGGGACGTGTCAGTGATTCGACGAAGCTTCACAAGCTCTCTCTCCCCAGCTGCCGTTGTCAAAGTTCAGGCTCAGAGCCTTCGGTCCATCTTTGTTGTTCTTAGATCCACTCTCACGTGAGCTCGAGCACAGCAACCAGGCCCTGGCACCAAGGTAAGCAAACTCAGAATTAAGGGAAGAACTAATGGTTCTTAGTCTTTTTTTTTTGAGGTGAGATTGTGCTACCGTTACTCTTGTGTAACCATCTCTGCTGGCGGTTTTGTCACACGCTGTTTGTGTAAAAGCGACTCATACTGAGCACCGCAGCATTAATAAAGCTGTCGAAGCTACTGATATCAGACAGTATTGTTATGAAGTCAGTTGAAGTAGGGATTACGCAACAGCCTCACTCACAACAGAAGGAAGGAAGGAATCCAAGGAAGGTGGAAGGAAATGTATATTATTATTATATACCATTAAGTAAATTTGCAAAGGAATTCAGTTATTTTATTTTACTCCCATTTTCAAATTCACTGTGCCATTGTCCAATAATTTCCTTCTGGTAAATGTAAGCCGTCTTCGTGGAAAACCATGCGGAGTTCATGAAGCAGTGTTTGTGTCTGTATTAAAGAACACTGTGTAAGATTCTGATTAAAATATTGAGAGTTTAAAGTTTAAACATGAGTGTTTGTCGCAAATAATAAAATGACCCCATCAAGAAGTCATTGTTCTTTACTTGAGTGACAACAACTTAACAAAAAAAAAAGAAAAAAGCGAGAGTCCATTTGGCGTTTTTACCATCATTATAACACTTAATTATGATGTAATAATAATAACTGGTGGAAGCTGTCGTTAAGAAGCTGAATTACTGTGTGCCTCTGTGATGATTCTCCAGGTGTTACTCTAATAAACAGGAAGTCAAAATTTAAACCTTTGCGGGAAAACAAGCAACAGCTGACTGACATGTTGTTGTGTTTCTGTTTTTTTGTGCTGTTTTTCACGCAGACAGCTGCTGGAAAATGACCCTTCAACCATTAACTCCAGTGAACTGTGCAGGCCTTCTGCAGCCCGGCTTCTCTCTGCTGCAGCTGGATGGGGAAGTTCTTCTGTTTGGCCAGAAGGGTTGGCCCAAGCGCTCATGTCCAACTGGCATGTTTAGTGTTCGCTTTAAATGTGGAGAGATGAAGCTGAGGGCCATCTCCTTCTCCAACGACTCATGCTACCTCCCTCCATTGCGCTGCCCGGCTGTTTGCCGCCTTGACCCGTACGACGGCCTCCCAGAGAGTTACCTCATCCACGGCGGCCGCACCCCAAACAACGAGATCTCCTCCAGCCTCTACGTGCTGACCACAGACAGCCGCGGCTGCAATCGCAAGCTCACCCTGTGCTGCAAAGAGAAGGAACTCGTGGGAGAAGTGCCGGGGGCCAGGTACGGCCACACAATGAGCGTGGTCCACAGCCACGGGAAGACGGCCTGTGTGTTGTTCGGCGGTCGATCTTACATGCCTGCGGGGGAGCGGACCACGGAGAGCTGGAACAGCGTCGTCGACCGCCCGCCTCAGGTGTTCCTGTTTGACTTGGAGTTCGGTTGCTGCTCCGCCCACGCTCTCCCCGCGCTCACAGACGGCCAGTCTTTCCATCTGGCCCTCGCCAGAGAAGACTGCGTCTACCTCATCGGGGGTCACTCCGTGGCCTCTGACTCTCGGCCCCCTCGGCTCTTCCGTCTACGCGTGGAGCTCCTGCAGGGCAGCCCCTTGCTTTCCTGTGAGACTCTTACGACGGGCATGTCCATCTCCAGTGCCATAATTAACCGCACAGGTCGCGCTCACAATTACATCATATTGGGCGGGTATCAGTCGGACTCTCAGAAGAGGATGGAGTGCAGCGCTGTGAGCGTCAATGAGAGCGGGATCCATTTTGAGCCACTGGAATCACCCAGGTGGACTCCTGACATCACCCATAGCCGCACCTGGTTTGGCAGCAGCGTGGGGGAGGGGAGCATCCTACTCGCTGTCCCCACTGAAGGAAGGCCATCCCAAGCCGATATGCATTACTTCTACAAGGTGAGCTTCCCGACAGAAGAAGAGGCCAGGGAGGAAGAAGGAACCCAGGGCTGCAGCCAGGATTCAACCGAGTACGACGACTCCACTCCCCTGGAAGACTCCGAGGAGCTCTACTTCGGTCGCGAGCCGCACGAGCTGGAGGACAGCGACGACGGACGAGTTGATAATTACAACGAGGAGGACGAGGAAGACGAATCGCAAGCGGGCTACTGGATCAAATGCTGCCTGGGCTGTCAGGTGGACCCCAACATCTGGGAGCCCTACTACTCCACCGAGCTCCACCGGCCGGCCATGATCTTCTGCTCCAGAGGGGAAGGGGGACACTGGGTCCATGCCCAGTGCATGGACCTGTCTGAGACCCTGCTGCTCAGACTCTCACAGGGCAGCAAAAGGTACTTCTGCCTGGACCACGGAGGCCTGCCTCACCAGGAGATGACCCCGCCCCGACAGGTCCAGCCTCTGAAGCTCACACCCATGAAGGTTAAGGACAGGAAAACTCCTCCTACAATTAAGATGTCCCCTGCCAAAAAACTCTTTTTGAGAAGGCTTTTTGAATGATGACAACTGGATTATTTAGGATGTTGATATTTACTGAATAATTGGGTGATGAACACAAGCACAATATACTCATATGTAATGAATACAAAAGATTTTGTGAAGAAAATGAATAATAAAATTGCAACATGATGTCTCCTGGTTAAGATGTTTGACAAAATACAAACAAACAGAATATGTAGGAAGTCTAACTACAATGTTTAATATCTTTCCCAGCTGTACAATAGTTTATTATAATTTTGTATTCCGCCAAGTAACAGGTTTTATTTCCTAACACTTTATGTTATGGCCAGATGAAGCCAAATTAGTTTTACCATTATGTTTGATGATCACTGAATGAGAAATATCCAAAATGATTTGTACTCTATGAAAAAAATAAATAAACTGATTCTGTCTTCATACCTGTGAATGTCTTTTATCATTTTTTTGGGGATGACAGATATGTTGATTTATCGTTGTTTTTGGGGTTAGATGAACACTTATTTGTTTGATTGAGTTAATTACAACTGTTAAATAATTCCTGATATTCAAATAATAGGTACATCTGTAAGTACTTAGAAGGCAAACATAATAAACAACCTGCATCTAAATGTCTTCATAGTTCTTCAATTATCTTTTTGCCAATGTGAACATGTGACGGTTCTTAATGTTTTGTATACATTCTACTGCAGTGTTTGCATTAGCTGTGTGACCGCATCAATACCTACAAACAGAAAATATAAGATGATTATTACAGAAAAAACAAACAACAAGCTCAATTCAGATGTTGTCTTTATTCATGATTTCATGGGAAAAAAAGACAAAAAGTATAAACTCCTCCACAAAGCTAACTCATCAAAATGGTGGTAAGTGGTCTGCTTGAGTAAAAATACAGAAGAAAAAAGTGAATGTAATATAACGTGGACAATGAAAAAATAAAGTGGTGGAACCTCAGTTTAATACAGTACAAGTAGGCAAAACTAATACCCAAAATAAGTCTTCAGCAACAGAGTAAACAGTTCATGTGATATTACAGTTTAAAATGTGTGAAAAGTGAGCCAGTGTAATTGCGTGAATCATCCATCATCCATTACTTTGGAAATGCAATTCATTATGGCAAAAAAACAAATGTGAGTCTAAAACACGATGGTATTTTAGGAAAGTGACAAATACAGGATGAAATGTGAATATTTCACCGCTGTCGTGGTTAAACGCGACAGGGAAATAAAATCAAACATTAAAACAAATAGGAAAAGAAAATTGCCTGTCACAATTTGAAATGATGAGGTCACAAAAAAACGCGATAATCAATCAATCAAACAAATACAGTTGCCAACAAATCAGTTTACATCGGGTCTTTCTAGCTCGTGCTCATCCCTCTCCTCTGTCGACCGTGGCAGTGACGAAATATCCGCCATGGAAAAAGTGCCAGGTTATGTAGAGAACTTGAGAAAAATCCCTGCCTGCCGGGGGATGAGGCTTTGTAATGGACCGTAGGCCTACCGATTTTTATGGTATCAAAAAAAAGGTCAGTATACACTTTATTCCAGGTGAAGAATAAGAATAAGTAGCACCTGTCCTCCACTGTGCAAATACAAAAAGAGATAAAAATTGGTTCAAAGTAAACTGGCATCTATTCTGCCCCTGAGGGATCCCGCGATAGAGTTCTAAAGTAATCTTTTTGAGAGGGCACTTATGAAACAAAGAACATTTGGGTCCCTGTGATTGCATTTCGTTCCAGCTCAAATGATATATTAATACAGTGGCCACAAATGTGGTCTTTTTAACACAATTTCCTGCCGTGACTTACAGCACTTTCATCTGTTTCCATAAACATCCCCTCTATATAAATTCATAAATGTGTCACATCCATGCAATACAATAAACTGTGCCATATTTCAAAGACAGTGACAATAAAAAAATAACTGCGTTCCTGAGAGCAAGAGAACAGAAATGTGTGAGTTACTTCCATTTTCCTCTGCTAACCCTTTGCCTTGCGGTAAAGAAGACGACAGTACAAATACTAAATATTGAAAACAAGCAAAACACCCAATATAAAAATGTGTAGTGAGAAAAACACAAAGGATGAGGTGAGTTTAAATCTGCAAACAAATATTTATATCTAAATAAAATGAGAAAAATTGTTCTTTCAAAATCTTGTTCTAAATATAAATCAATTGGTAAAGAAATGTAATTGGGAAAAAGAAATCATATTGCTAAGACACCATTGAATTAGTATATAACTTCCCTGCAATTAATTAAATAAAATTCAAAAGTCATTAACTTCCAGAGAAGAGAAGACGTTCTCACAATCCTGACTTGCTTCTGGGTCAATGGTGGCTTGCAGAGCTTTAGCAGAGTCCTTGTGAGCTTCCATAAACTTCTGCAAGTACTTGGAGGTGTAGAGCCAGTGATGTTTCAACACGTCCTCTAGCTCAAAGGCCTTCGACTGACGCGCATTCATCTTCCGGAAACGCCTGAAGAGCTTGTTAGCCGACTCGTTCCCCTCGCTGGCCCAGGCTCCTATTGATCCATCTCTCTCTATGATTTCAGGCACATGGGCCAAAGTCTTGTGCAAGTAGTTGGTTATCTTTCCGTTGTACCTGTACTTGAAGGTGGAGGAGAGAAGGTCGGCGAAGCGCTGGGAGTTAAAGCTGTAGCTGCAGAGCTGGTCGGGGCACTCCTTGGCCGGGCAGGTGGCGCGCCACACAGGCTTCATTTGGATGTAGAGCCTCATCAGCTCCCTCAGGGCCTCCCTCCTCTCCTCGGAGGGCACCAGCTCACAAATCACCTCCACGACCTCTTGGGTCATTAGCCGGCGGGCGTAGTTCCCATTCATCCTCATCACCGGTTTGAGCTTCATCTTCATCCTGAGCTGTTTGTCCAGCGCCGCCCTCCAGCTTCGCCGTTCTTCCCGACTGGGGTTGACCTTTCGGTACACCTCCCCGATCTCGTCCTGGAAGATCTTGTAGAACTCTGTGGCGTTGCCGATGTCACAGTGCAGTGCATCCATCGTGGGCTGGGTCTCCATGAAGGGTTTGGCAGAGATCCCTTTGACTCTGTCCCGCAGCTCCTCCACAGATTCAGAAAACGGGTTGGTTCTCCATATCTCGTAACGATCCAGGTTCTCTTCGTGACTGCGGGTGATGGAGTGCAGCACCATGTTTTTAGAGGCCTCCGCGCGAGTGGAGTCGCAAAGAGTGCAGACGTAGGTGGACCCTGACGCCTCCAGGCCCTCTACCTCGCGCACCATCTTCTCATCATATCCCGTGCCCCTGAAGTGAAAGCGGAAGGAGCGAGGGAGTCCGCCCACGGAGAGGATGAGCCTGCTTTCTTTCATCGCATTGCGCTCGGCAACTATTGGCCCCAGGACAGCTGTGAGCGTCTCGTGGTTCGACTCATCCACGAACATCAAGCAAAGAGGCTTACAGGACAGTTCTGAGTTTGGCTTTGCCTCAGTGAAGATGGTAACTTCTTCCACCTCCTCGTCTGCCAGCACAGAGACAGACATGACAGTAAAAGAAAAACGCACAGCCTTCTCAGGAACAGGTGGTCCTCCGCCGTGCTTCTCGCTGACGTCGCCCATGCCGTCACAGGACTCCTTGATCATGACGCTGAAGCCTGAGGTGCAAGCGCTGTCTTCCATGCCGCTCTCTCTCAACCCCTCCAGGATGTCCTCCTCCAGATCCTTTAAAGCTGACACCAGAGCCACGTCGTACCGAAACCGTCGAGTGGTGGTGTCAGCAGGGAAGTCGTCCACCGAGGAGGCCCATCCAGAGAGCCCATTAATGATGCCAACGGTGCAGGACGTAGACACGTTCTTGAGTGCTGGTTGCCATTCAAACTGGTGGAAGCCGGGGAGAAGCCCCTTCTCTGCGGCCCGCAGGGTGTTCAGGGGCTGAAAGATCTGGCGGCCACTGGTGGCTTTGACAGTCCGGTACATCTTGTGATATTGGCTGCAGCTCAGGAAAGTGTTGACGCGAATGGCTAAGCACACAGCAGGATGCAACTCAAAGCCTCTTCCTGCAGAGAGCAAGAGAAAAGGAAAAGACAGGACGTTTAAGAAGAAAGGATTCATGTAAAATATTATTTAAACACCAAACTGGCCTTTCTCAGTGCTAAACACAGCCTGTCTAAAATGTCCTTATTCAACATCCCAGATGTAGAGTCATTTAGACTATGAGACAAAGATGGAAATGTATCATTGTCAAAAGTCCACTAACCCATGATTACAAAATCCAATAATTCCTCATTTCCAAATGTTATAAGGGGACACAGGGTGAATAGGCGAAGGTAGCAAAAGTGATGTATTGGCTGCAGATGAAAACAGACACCAGCTGGCTTCTATTCCCCAGAGAGGAAGATGGTGCTGTCTGTGTAATTTGCGGATACAAGGGCTGCTGATGTTGTTTTGATTCTAACAGCCCCTTCACAAGAGTTGTTATCATGCATTAAAGTCAGTGTGAGCGAGACTGACGGACAAGCAGGAACAGAGTGAACGTGGGAGAGAATCAGGTAGAGGTTGAGTTTCTTCTAGAAATGGGGATGGAAAATAATTCAACGTTATCAGAATCTTCTTCACTCCCTTCAATTGTGAACTTTTCAACTCATCGTTACTCACGAGTGGACTGTGTTCCTCGGAGATAGCCAGACATATTAGTTAATTAACTAACACTACAGTTTTCTTGGCTACGGAGAGTCCCATGTTGATTAAACAAAAGCCTCAATAATATCTCACCTTGCATCATGGCCTCTAGCTCATCCGCCCGACGGTGTTCATTCCCGGACCTCAGTGCAAGCAGGAACAGAGTCTGACACACAGACCTCAGGTCGCCCCCCTCCTCTTTATCTGCAAACACCTTCAGCTGGTTCTTCATGTCCCTCAGTCGATGCTTCTGGGCACGGCGGGTCAGTGACAGCAGGTGCTGACGAGGTCTCCCCCCTTTGTTGGTTCGCAGGTAGTTGTCGAGTTCTGCTGACGGCTGCTTATCGTCCTGTTCATCCAGATCATGGCCCTGACAATGAGCTCTGAATGAGTCCAGCCTGGACTGCTGGCCACAGCCGCTCCGGGGGCAGAGCAAAGGCAGGGAATGCAGGGCTGATAGGAAGGCTTTAGCGGGCGGGGCGAGTTCCTCAACAGCGCAGGACGCGTTGCAGGCCGGGCAGTGAGGTCCCAGGACGCGGTTGTATTTTACAATACAGCTGCGGCAGAAGAGGTGTCTACAGGGGGACTGCACCGGATCAGAAAGCAGGTGGTCGCACACCAGGCAGGTGAAAGAATAGAGGAAGTCTACAGGGAGCTTCTCACAGATCAGCTTGGTATTCAGGTGGTCTCTCTGGCAGTGGGTGATGTTCTTCACCCAGTGCTCTCTCTGGATACTGAGTTGTCCCTGTGCCCTTAGCACAGGACCATGACGGTTGTCTCCAAATGGTCTGAGAGCCTTCCTCTCACCAACCACAATGCAATCGCCGGGGTCCCTCCTGGCCCTTTTTGCCAGACTCTGCGCTCTGGGAATGGCTTTGCGCCTCTTCCTGCCAGTCCGCTGAAACGAAGGTTTCCTGGGGGAGCAAAGGTTGCAGGTGGAAGAGTGGGGTTTCCACTCAGGGACTCTTGTTCTGGAGAAGCTACAGAAGCCTCCTCCTCTTATGGTCACCACCCAGCAGCGATGGCAGAAGGAAAGAGGGTGAACGGATTCGGTGTCCTCCTTCACGTCCACTTTAAAGACTTTGAGAATAACTTCTGGCCAGCTTGTAAACTTGCAGCCCATTTTACGCAAAGCGCCTTTGCTGACCTCATCCAGATCCCCGTTGACATCGTGCACCGGACCTTTGACTGTTCGCAGGGCCATTCCGCATAGACGGCACAAGCACCTTCGAGAAAGGAAGAAAAATGTTTTTAAATTTTGAAAAAATTAACATTTAGAAATTCACCACAATTTTACAGTATTGTTGCATTTAATCACCTGAGATGGTTCATGTGAGTGTCCATTTCCTGTAGTTTCATATCAACTCTCCGGCCAGGGCCCTCCACATTTTCCTTGCTTTTTCCCCCTAGGCACAATTTCATAACACTCTCTGCACCCGTGCCATTGTCAACCTCTATGTTTAAAGCTGCAGGAGGAGGGATCCCTGACAGGGCTCCTTCCTCAGGCCGTGTCTCAGTGGGCAAAGGTACCTTCTCCATGGACTTCAGCCTAAACAGTTTGAACTTCCACTGAGAGTACTTAGAGTGGGGATGGCAGAGCTCAGCCGGCATGGAGGATCTGTGGCCGTCTGTCTCCAGGCTCTCCTCCGCCATGATGTGGCTTAGTCTTCAGACCCTGGAGAGGAGGGGGGAGAAGAGGGCCGAGGGGGGAAAAGCTTAGTTGGATGTATCAAAAAATAATTTCCGTTGTCCACGAGATAGAAGCCTGCGGATGCTTTAAAAAAATACATTATAAAGCTGAAATATGACTTCTCAGCATTAAGCCCATGACACAATCTAACATTTTACTCGATTCCTGTTGAATTTATACGCCAAGTGCCGTGAAATCCCACTGAACAGAGAGGAGTGAGCCCCTACATAGTGTTATACCGCAAGTGGCATTTGGATCCTGTGTAAAATGCATGAGACAGGCATTTGGGGATCGATACAGCACAAACATTTTTCATTTGTACCATCTCCAATGCCATCGTTTAGGGAGCCATTGTGATTTTTTTTCTTTGACACAGCAAGGTTGTCTAAATGGGCAACCTTTCCTCTGTAAGGCTGTCAATCATTTATATTACTCGTTTTCTTGGCCAGAGAGCGAATTGGAGCTTTGGGAGCCAACGACAGGCATTTTAGATGTGACTAATAGAATTACAGATCCAGGAAACTTATTTCATAATACAAATATATTGACCAGATATGAGAGAAAAGAAAACAGGTAACCCTCATAATGAATAAAGATCATAAAGCATTATTCCAAACACATCATTGGTCAATCCAGGAGGCGTATTGAAACTGCATTGACAGGTCTTAAATCACCTCCTCCCATATTATCTATGTTCTATTAAAGTCCAGACAGTGAAGAAGTAATACAATCTTACCATTGCAAAGCTATAGTGCACAAAATCTAGCGTCTTTTGTGTATATCCGTCTTTGAGTTGCGTTTTCCTCCCTGGGAGGCTTGAATCTGGCAGAACTCCTTCATTTCCTGGCTCTGTGTGTATTTGGCAAGCTGAACTCTCCTTTTCAGACAAACAGCTGAGCCTGTATGCATGTGTGTCAGCTGGGCTCTTACCTTGTTGTTTTAGTCTCAGCTGGCGTCCGCTCCCTTGGGGGTTCTTTTCGCATGGGAGCACAAGGGAAGCCCTGGAGCCTGGCCCCACGTATCACATGTACCGCCTGTGTAGGAGTCTCTGGCTTGATGCGGCTGTTACCAGGAGTTATGGTTCCATACGCGTGGGATTGCCCCTGTCTGTCTCCTTGGGTCTTGTATTTATACCCTTCCTTTGATGGGATCCCAACAGTCAACCCCTGGCACCTGATGCAGGCAGCTGATTTGAACCCAAAAAAAACAAGGTCAACCCCAATGCACAGTTGCAAACACGTGTATACAGAGAATCCAACATCATACCCCATATCAGCTTTTTCACCAAACCACATCGATCCTCAGCTGGCAACACTTCTGTTTTACCTTTATCTCCCCTCTCTCATATGCATCTGCAGGCTCACCTCATCCAGGTGGCCTCTCTCTGGCAGACTGAGAGATACTGTTAAACTTCTAAAAAACCCAGTGCAGAAACAAGACAGATGGAATAAATGCATTTTGCAATCGCAAGGACAAATAAGAAGAACAAACATTGTGTCATAGATCGTATAAGAGTGACAAATATAGAATTTGACCATACTTTTAAATGGATGAATACTAGACGGTTGACAAAACAGTGCTCAGCGGTGCTTTAAAATTAGTTCCTGTCAAAAACAGAGCAGTACAATTCAACAAAAAACTTTTAAATATCACATATAAAAAAACACATAAAAAAACACATATTAATTCACATTTAAGAATTTTAGGTCAGTGTTTATCCTCTTGTGGTTGACACAAACTAATGATGTGTGTTTGTGTGTGTGAAGGCAGTAGGAATAAAGAGAGATGTGTTAGTATGTGTATGTGTAAGGGTGTGAACAAGGCAGTACATCATATATGAGGAAGTTAGATGGATAAAAGGGCATATATTGATGAACAGAAATAGCCATTAAATGTTAAAAGCTGTAATACAAACCTGTCTTGTTAGTATGAATACCAATTAGCAATGTTGTTTTGACAAGTGCGTTTTCTGTCATGTGTTCTGTGTTACTCTCATGTTGTGCACTCACTGTTGTTCAGTTCTCCTCTCTCTTAATGTCAGCAGCACATTTCATTCCTTTTTTTCAAACACTGTCTCCATTCAGAACAAGATCTAATTAGAAAGCATCGCTTGATGTAATGTCTCAGTAGGTATGGGAAGTATTTGCCCAAGATCATTCTTGTTTGTAATTATCCAGGGAATTAATCTGGTGTATTCGCCACAGGAGCCAGTTGCTGTTGCCTTGGGTTTACCAGCAAAGTCATTAAATACACAGTCAGTGGTCACCAAACTACAGTTGGGTCTCTTCCACTCCTGTCAGCTTAACAGGGGAATAGGAGGAATACTGATGCGTTTTGCACTTTATATCTGGTGCATATCCTTAAGTGTAACCTGTTTGTTTAAGACTATCACACTCATTTACAAGGGAAAAGCTATTTTTTCTAGAACTATCCAAATCCATAAGAACCAGCTTGATACGGTGTCCAAGAAGAAGCAAATGATGGATTGTACCAAGATGTTCCCAGCTTATTTATAGTTGATATTTAGATTTATGATAGCCGAGTAGCCTCATGTTTCCATGGTAAACGACGCAGCCAGCTCGGCAGACAGGGACGGAGCTGCAGATGTCGGCCTGACAAACAAGCAGTGACCCCCTGAGACCCTCATCTCTGTGCGCCTGCTAATTGACTTGTTATTGATCAACTCAAAGACAGTCTGATTTATGGGAAAGAGGAGTTGTGGAGACACCCACCTGGCGTGGAGCGCAGTGTTATGAATGTTATGTGCGAACCCTGGGGGACTTGAGGCTGCAGTTTAGCAGGACGTGTAGGAGTTTGCGATGCACCAGTGAACGGACACGTTGAACCAGGCCGAGTTTTTCTTCTTTTTTTTTTTCAAATATGATGATTCCAAACAACACCAGTGAGCATGCGATGAGTGTGTGTACATGAGCGCATCGCAGGTGCTTGCAGCGCGAGGGAAGAGTGGAAACATGGCTGGATTGAAAAAAAAAAAAAAGAGTGGCGGGTGGCCGTGTTTTTGAGTCTGTGCTGGTTTGTAGAAACACCACATTACATAAATAAGTCCTCCTAATCCATCGTGAGGAACTTCAGACTCATTGATGTTGGACCTGTGTGTGTAACACAAGGAGACACACAGGCAGAGTCGGGAAAGACAGGTGTAAGTGGTGAAAGACAGAAGGGGGATATAGGAGTGATCTTTTGTAAAGGAGTTGCACGGGATAACAGGCTTAGCTCAGAGTACAGAACACAAAAGGGCTTAAAGCTGATTGCAGGCTGTGACAAGGTATACGGGGGGAGAGATCAAGCCTTCCAGGCAGAACTATGTAAGCCAGAGGTCCGAGAAAGACCCCCTGACAGCTCAAGTCATATGGCAGCTTAAGGAGGAGTGTCAATAGCAGCGGTGGACACGGAATTTATTCCACAGCAGCAGCGGTACCTTCTTTTAGGCCATAAAATGTCAGCATCGTCCACATTTGAATAGGCCGACCAAAATTGCAGCATGGTATTTCTAAATGTCATGAAGCATGTGGGCATCTTTGAGATTGTATTCAGGGTAAAGAGGGCATTTCGATCTCTTATTTCCACCGAGAGTTACGCAATACACTGAGCATTGTATATGCTAATTTTTAATTGCATTCTCGTAGCACGTCCAAACACTCCCTCAGCCTTGTCCAGACGATTCTGAGGGAGCCGCCCTCACTGTCCGCCCTCCCCGGAGACGGGATTTGGCAGATTAATACTCAAAGAGGTAGACTTCAATGCAGAGCTATTTGTCAAAGCTACCTGCCAGAACAAAAGCCTCACCCAACCACTCAAATCTCTCCTCATTCATCTCCCCCTGCCGCTCCCTCTTAAAGTCTTGTTTCCCTTCTCTCGCTCCTCTCCGCTCAACCTCACCTCGGGTTTTGTTAATAATCAATTACGTGATTATTTGAATGAGGTGATTAATTACTGGCCTTCCCTCCCTCTCTTTGTACCACAGGTTAGCGTGCCTATAATCACACAGCGACAGCCGAGTTGAGTGATTCTGTCTCGTGACCTGGCGGGACTCTGTGTGACTTGGCTGAGTTTGCCAGTCGGCTCATCCTGACTGATGAGGCTTTAACAGAGAACAGAGACACAACAAAACATCCTCATCAAAAAAACAACAACATCCGCACGAGTTACAGTCAGCCTGAAACCGTACAGTATGTCCAGCTGGCTAAATATTCATTTTATTTGATAGTCAGGTCTTGGGGCTGCATTAATTTGTTCCAAGTCTTGCATGATAACTGTTCCCGAGGCGCCGCGGAATTATTTTGGCATTGGACCGATTCCATTAATCTTTTCTGTTCTGGTGAGTTAGACAATATGGAGGACAGCTTCAGCTACACACCCTAACTGTTAGCATAGTAAAGTAGGCGGCATAGAGGTCAATGACTTCCAGAGATTGCAAAGGAGACATAGTGGATTTCTGCTGGAGTTTACACGGCGGCCCTCTGAATGGAGGGAGATCTGTATCTCAGCAATCCAGATGGGTGTTGATCCACTCTCCAGGATAAATCAAACAGAATTAAAACCGTAAAGCCAGATTCAGGAGCACAAAAGTTGAGTGGGGAATCAAGACCAGGGTCTTTAATTCTGTCTTAATTAAGCGTAGATTTCCCTGATTGAGGAGCGGTCTCTTTGATGCCGAGGGACCCTAAGTCACATAAACATCCACTCACTGGATTTGTCTTGTGTTTAACCACGTATTAGTCCTTATTCCGCCAAATTGTCTGGAGCTGGTTTACACAGGGGGGGGGGGGGGTTTATGTCGGCTGAGGGATATTAGCTTGCAAACACCTCCAGATTTCCAACATTCGTTGAGAAGAAGATTTCTGGGCGGGTTGTTGAAACGCCTCGATAACACGGTTACATCAGTACAGTTTTTCAGATGCCGTGATCGGGAATTCCGGGGCATCGAATTTCACACTATTTGTCTCTCTTCCGCTCCCCCACTACCTTCCTCCATCCCCCTCCGTCAACGTAATGAGCAAATCACCGGAGCCACCGGGGAGAGATGTGGGGAGAAAAAAAACGCTCCCATTATATGTTAAGGAGTGTGAAAAGAGCAGTGCCTGTTGTCCGTCAACTCCAACCCTCGGCTGTCTGTGGTCTTACCTCCCCACCGACACACAATGAGCTCTTTCATTACACACGGAGATCTGCTTATTATTTCCCTGTCCTTCAACCACAAAGTCCATTGTGGAAAATGCCAGGACAGCGGTGCCCTTTGCTGCACCAGCTCCGCCAGAGCTCAGAAGAAGGTTACAATAGACGCAGTAACACACGGCAAGCCGAGGCTGATTTAGAGTGACTGGTCTTAAAACCAGACTTATAGAGTACAGTAATTATAGGAGGTGAAAGGAGGGGCTGCGAAGGATGCTGTGGATAGACGGGGGTGGGGGTGGGGGTTTGAGAGGGAGGTGGTTGTCATTTGGCAGCCAGTCCAGTTGGAAAGGGAAATTGCTGTTGGAGCCAGAGCCCGGGTGGTGGACCATTTATCAGCCAGTCATCGCCATGATTCACGCGGCCCAGCGGGGAGCCATTATTTTACCACCGGCTCTCTCACGATATCCTGCTGGTGGCGAGGATGATGATAGCTACATGCTTCACGGGCACATGAGCAGACACATACAGTAATTGTTTGAGCACAACAGTTTCCAGTTTCCTCTCGTTTCCAGATTGTGAGTCACGTCTCGTCTGTGGAGTGGACCACACAGAGAAAGAATTGAACAGTTGAGCCTAACTCGGGGGGCATATGGCGTTTGTTCAGTGCAGCAGAACACAGAGATGCCTCGGGAACGGACTTACAAACATGCGGTCCCTGTTGGAGGGAAGGGTAACCGGCAATGAATACATAAAGATCGCAAATACACCATCCACCTGTTCAGAGAGCGCTTTGGGACCTGGTAGATCTGTAGGCAGTGATACGGTTTTGCCTTTGCCGGTTTGCAGCTACGAGCACGTATAACAAGTCTCTGAATAAGCAAAATAATTCATTTCTGAATAGGAAATTGGCAGGGGAGGTCTGTGATGGCCTCCTCATAATAACAATGATAAAAAAATACTATTCTTCTATTCAAACTCCCCTACCTCTTCCCCTTCAGGCACCCATGGGAGGCACATCATTTTAATATACACAGGTTTTCATCTCTTCACTTTTTGTAAAAAGACCGGGAGACAGGGAGAGAGAGAGAGACGGAGACTATTTATTCAGTCAGATGGTCTAACGTGTGCGGAATAGATTTCAGCTAAAGAGGAAGCTGTCTACGCGATGGCAGTTTGCGTCGGTGAGTGAATGGAATCACGCCACCGTTGACGCATTGACTTTGCCCCACAGTGAGCATCAAATTGAGATTTTGAATGATCCTCTTTAACCACGGACAGGTGTGGAGCTCCATAATGGCAACCAAGCATCTATTTGATGCAAAATATTTCAGCATATTTAACAAAGACTCTTCAGCTAGTCAGGCTGTTCTTACAGGGGCCGTCAGCAAGTTCTATTCCAACACACTTTGGTCAAATTCAGCAAGTATCTCTTTACGCTTCGCTAGCTGTCCGTTCTGTGTGAGCTGGGAAAAAAAACACTGTTTCAATCAGCAACAGGAGGTGTTACTGCAAAGCAACATACAATGCAAACTATTGGCGCTTAGAATTCAAGGGAAATTGAATACAGTGATGGCAGTGAATTTTTACAGATCTTGTCATTCCTTTTTCGATCATTCACTCGTGCAAAATGATGTTGTCTGCAACAATGTCTTCATGTCCATCTTCTATCCCCGCTTCACTTTTTTTCGCTGCCATCCGCTGTCGTGAAAAAGTGTGTGTGACTCCACTAGTAGAGCAGAGCCCATTATTGTAAATAGGCCAATAAGTAACTTCACACTACGTGTCTATAAAGCAAGCACACTCTATATGCAAAGCAGAAGCACACCGTTAAAGAAACTGGCGCCAAGTGATTATATTTGTAATTTAATTTCCTTGGTCACACAGAGATAAGAGCAGGGAGCGGCTACAGTTGGCCAGGGATGAATAGAGTGATGAGAATGGGACTGCAGCTTCATTGTCTGGACCGAGATGTCCGAGAAGACACCACTTACGAACAAGGGCGGCGGGCAGATACGCTGCATACGCGGGGATTCACAAGTCCAAATTCAAAGACACAAAAAGATAGCAGAGAAAGTTGTACTATATGCAAGAACACCTGCACTCTCAAATCAAATGGATGAATGTAAGTGCAGGATAATCAAGAAAATAATTTGTCCCCTGAATCAAGCTCTGTCTCTTCCTTTCTGTCAGCATCCTTCGGCACTCACGAGTCTAATCAGCGATGTGGCCCGGGTGACATGTCAGTCACAGAGCGCAGAGCCTCATTGCGGATTCTAAGTGCGAGATCAATCCTCGGTCCCTGCAAAAAGACGACTGAAGGACACAAAGTGCAGTCTGCCGGCAGCCTCTCTCGGGTCTTTCCATCGTCTGCCGTCCCTTTTTTTCAATGCAGTTTAGTCCAAAATAAGTCGGTGATCAAACTCTGATTTTGAGTACATCAGAATTTTTCAGGGACGAAGGTCAATCACATCTGACACCACACGGATGTTAGTACAGGGGTCAGTGTGAAACTGGATTTGTGACATCTCAAACCCTATATAGAGTATTGGATCTACAAGCCAAAGAATAGAAACATGTAATTAGCTCAGAACTAAAACAACGGCTGCCGAAGCGACGGTTTTCTACCTTCAAGTGTCTCTCCAAACAGATGCAAGTAATGTGTCGTTTTAGAAGTGATGAGTGTTTTTTAAGATGGCTCTAAGGTTCTTATCTGTCAGACGCTGGATGTTTTTGAATTGGTGGAAATCCTGAATACGGTGAGGAAGCAGGTTGATCAGAACATCAGGACGAGATGCATCGAGCTGTTGTTAAGCCGGATGTGGGGGGAGGAGGGGATGGTTCGAGTTTACAGACGTCATGGAGGCTCTTAGCCGTTGGTTTATATATTTTCCTGCCGGGGATGGAGGTTAAAGTGTGTATTTGACACGCTGATGACCAGTTTCTTTTGCTTCTGCCACGACCAGTGTGAGGCGTTTTGATGTAACAGACTTGATGTTATTGAGGAGTGCAGGTATGACAGTGCTCATTCGAGTATATCAAGTATGTAACGACGGGTGAAGGGCTGCTACAGTCATCCAAACGAGGGGACAGAGAACACAGCCCTGAGGGACGGCTGTCAGGATTGTGTTTTTCAATCCCAGACATTTTATGGCCATTGGAATACGCGCCACCAGTATGCAGCGGCTGGGTTCTGATGGGAAGGGTTTTATTGGGAAGTGGTTTGATGGCTAACGTTCCCCAGTGGTTTGGGAATTGATGCCGTCCTGCAGGATCGTCAGGAGACGCAGAGGACGTGGGAGCACTACACGGCGCAGAGTTTGAGCATTCTAGCGGGGATGCCAATTTTCACTCTCCTCCCTTGTTCTCCTGTTCTCTCCTCCTCTCATCACTATGTCTATTTCTCCCCCCGCTGTCAAGTCCTTCTGCATATTTCTTTAGCGTTTTGACTTTGAACCCCACAGCATTAACCTGTCAGGGAAGTTACAAATGTTCTGAGTGAATTATGTAAACTACAGAGACATAAAACTGCAAAAAGCATGGAGTTCTCACTTCATTTCATAATTCATCATGCCCACAGATTGAGGAAAATAAAACTGGACTGATTAGGTAGTCTGGCACATTCTGGCTCAAAATCTTCTAAAATATGCTTGAGAATATTAATCACACTTTGTCTACCTCGCAAATAAAAAATCAAACACACGTACCCATAGACGGAGAGCTTTTTTTATTGTGATTTCATTACTCAAATCGAATGAGAGCAACGTCTCCAACATTTTTTTTGGCCAGAATTCATTGCATGAAGCAAAAGCAATAGATGTCACACCAGCACCACCAAAAGGCCGAGCGGAAAACAACAGCACGCTCGCACACAGCACTGATTAAGGATGCTTCGCCTTGGCAGACGGCAAGTTTATTTATTTATCTCAATGAACACAACCACAATTGCGGGAGAAAAGGGATGCATGCACTTTGGGGGGAAGGAGGGGGGGGGGTGGCAGTGCAGCATAATTAGTAGGACATGGTTGTATAATTGGTCTCTAATTAATATGAAGAGCAGTGGTTTATCCCAGGCTGTGTTCAACACATGCTGCCCAATCTTGGAGCCATCTTCTGATTGATGTCTTTGTCGCGAATGCCCTTCAACAATCAGCACCCGCGATCTCTCGGTGTCTATCAGGCCACCCGTCTATCAGTGCGTAACATCTCCCACTATTCATCTGTGGTTTCATCCTGTGCGCCTAAACGTCTTACTATCTCCGCGTTGATTTGGGTCTCGCTTTCTGCCGAGGCCTTCTCATCCTTTGGTCTGAAAGGGGGGGGAGGGGGGGTAGCGTTTGTGTTGGTGGTGGAAAAGCGGGTTATTTTTTTATTTTTATGGAAGAACGTATGCTTGTTTTGGCCGAGACAGTCGCTGCCGGGGGAAAAGAAATCAATTCAGAAATTACTCATTACAAATTACATTTTGAAAAGTAAGGAGTGTGACTGCTCCCTCAATTTAGCAAATGGTGGAGCTCCTTTTTAGTGAAGTTGCCACTGAGAGGCGCAGCTGGAAACGGGAGGTCAACACAGTGAATTGAATCAATTTGTAGTAAGTTGTAGTAGGTTTGGGTGGGGGAAGCTCTTTGGAACGATTCTCCACATGGATGCGCTGAGGCAAGGCGACCTTCAAGGACATTCCCCTCATTTACACCGCAATTAAGCACTATCCTGTCTGTAAATTAAAAAAAAGAGGCAAAAATCCACCGTGGATTTAATGACAAACTCATTAACAAGGCCCAGCTCGGCGGAACTGCCTTTTAATTAGAGCAACACCTGATTAACGCCCAATTAACGGAGCCAGAGCCGCTTAATTCTCCCCCACTTTGGCAGGTCGAGAACATCAACATAAGCAGTCCAGCATCGGAGTGCTTCCTCTCCTCCAGGGAACGTGTGACAGGAAAAGTAAATAACGGCTCCGGAGGCCGTCGGCTGGTCAAAACAAGGCGCAGAGCTGGGGCCTGCACGCCGGAAACGCACACGCACTGCACGTGCACCTCCTGCTGGCAGGTACGTGGTTAAACATCACGCTCAGACTGAGCACCCGTTACTCCTGCTCTCTGATACCACCTCATGGACAGACGGACCTTTTGACTTTAGCTGTGAAACGGTGTAGAAAGCGCACGGCCAGCGCAGTCAAAGTAAGACTTGTTGAGCTTGCTATATTGTGTCATATGACAAACAAAGTGGTAATAAAAGAGGATCATTGATTGATGGACTGGTACGGCCACGCAATGCTTTTTTTCCCTCAATGTGCAACTCACGATAATTTCAATGTCCACAATACGGCGCTGTTTTAACATTCAACAACTATATTACAGCAACCGCTGAAATTTAGTATGAGTTGGCATTTTAGTGAGTGTGTTATTTACCATGATTCAACTGAAAAGCCTCCACAACTGGATCCTAAACTCTGAGAAAGCTTCAAGAAATCGATCACATTGACTTTATTAGAAAACAGTTGCCCTCGAGCATTTCATCCTTAGTGTTTTTAGTGTGTTTGACGTAAAGTCGGTCGGTACCGGTGACAAACTGGAGAATGACCACCGGCTCTTTGGGACACTGGACGCTTCAGTCCCACTGAAGAGGTGATTCCTCTGGCGAAAACGTAACTCTGTCCACAGTTCATCCATATTCACTCTGCTTGTACGGAGCGGCGAGTAATTGCTGGTTTCCCTCATTGAGTCTGTGTGCTTTAATGTGTTGCTAGCACATTCCCAACCTTTTCCCCGGTCACGTCCTTGCACTCTAACTGAGGCTCTTGGGAGCCATGTTTCTTTTGCTGTTACAAGGGTAATAGCCATCGCTGCAGGAGCGTAGTGCGGCCTTCGTTGGATGGGAAATCCGAACGGACTCCACGGCCCTCTCCAAGTCCGGCAGGATGTCAGGCACGACAGCTTGCTCGGCTACAAAGATTATCGTCTCCAGGACTAACAGCAGGACCCAGCCTAAAGCTCCGAGCCAATAGGAGGAGCCGAGGCTGGAAAAGTCTTGGCGTATTTCTTCCCGGTGCTGATGGGTAAAGAGAGACCAGCTGAAGAGGAAACAGAATCCTGTGAATAAAAGGAAACAAACGAGTCAAATCAAGCACCCTAGTGGGAGGTCAATTGCAGCGTGCCTTGAGCTTTACGCAAGAGTTTGAATGATAATGAACTGCAATTCCGAGAGAAGCAGAACATCTCTTTAAAAACTGCCTCCCTGCAGGGTACGTCAATGAGGAGAACAGAAAAGAAACTCCAAGTTTGAACTGCACAAAGCAAAAGGCTATTCGGAGGTTATTTGGAAACGGGGGCTGTGTTTTACTACTGTTCTTGGAACGTATTTATTATTTTAAAACAGAACTATTCCTTTAGAAAAAAATAATACACGTTGTGTGGCTCAGGCAAACCAGATGGGTTTCAATTTAGTCTTTTTCGCTGCCCATGATACGTTTGTATTGTGGCATTTGCATTCAATGTAAATGGTAAATTATGGTAAATGGACTGTACTTGTATAGCGCTTTTCTAGTCTTCCGACCACTCAAAGCGCTTTAACACTACATGACATCATTCACCCATTCACACCCATTCATACACTGATGACAGGAGAACCATACACAGTGACACCTGCCATCAGTCACTAACATTCATACACCGTAGTCGCAGCTACAGGAGCAATGTTGGGTTAAGTGTCTTGCCCAAGGACACAACAACATGCAGGTTAGCCGGGCCTGGGATCGAACCCACAACCCTCTGATTGAAGGACGACCGTGCTCCCAACTCACCCACAGTCGCCCAACTCACCCACAATGTGGACACGACGTGCATTTGCAAAGTCACACTTTTCAACTGTGACCCTGCCGCTCACATAATTACCACGCAGAGGACCACTCGGTTAAGCGCGGCCAGAACTGAACAGAAATGCACCATCCTGGTATTTTTGGTCATGCTGCGTGTAACATGCAATGTATTGTGACATGTTGGTTTTTCCCAGCAGTGCAGTGGTGTTACCTGTGGAGGCCATGGTGAGCAACAGGAGCGTTGAGGGGTAGAGGGCCTGTCCTGCCATGAGGAGGGAGCGCGTGTTGGAGTAGGAGTGCACCGTCTCAGATCTCCAGCAGAGGGCGAACACCAGACACAAAGCACCAGTGCTGGCGGCCATGAGGAAGGAAAGAACTCCAAATACTCTCTCTGCTTCCAGCACTGGAAGACACATAGACGACCACATACAGTTCAAAAAAAGGGAAGGAGAAACTAGACTCTTATATCGACCTTTAAGCGGATTACATTTTTGTTATAAACAGGCAGCATATTGAATTGATGACTCATGGTTGCATTCCCTCATCACATGTATCAAGGTGTACTTTATGGGTTGTTTTCATGTCTATTGAGCTGACATTTAATTGCTTTCATTCCTTCAGTGTGTTTGAACAACAGCAAAACCACAAAAATATGAACAAGTTGTTATCTAATTTCTAAATGCCCTTGCTGGAGCTCCATCTGTGAGTCCATGTACAGTTACAGACGGTTTGTGAATTGTTCATCTGGTTATCAATGTGGTCATGAGAGATAGTAGCTTTCAGACACTAGTGTTGAGCTGACTGCATTGTATTTCATCGTTGTATTTTTCCTTGTTCAAGGATTTAAGGTAACACATGCTGAGTGATGAGCTCATTTTTGCGGCTTTAATGTGTTTTCACTGCTGATACTTTGTCTTCCCCGCATGAGGACCAATGTACCTGCTGGGACAGTTATCCAAGTCTACACTTTCTGATCTTAGTTTAGTTCCTTGTTACTGGACTAATCCCTGCTTCAATACCTAAAATATTACATTTTTGAATTCACATCGCCATCATTTAAAAAAAGCTTTTCCTAGTTTGATAATCGATTCTCATTCACAGCTGCTTTCGTCTCGATTCAATCTGAATTGTTGTCATTTTCACACTGCCAGGGGAACACGTCCAACAGCTTGTCCTTTTTTTTACGTCAACAAACAAGATGCACCTGACAAAGAGAAGGTGGCCAAGCTCTCGAGAAATTTGTCTCCAGCCGAGTGGGAACCTGTCTGGTAAGAGTTCGCTCCTCTGGTGCCGAGGCGAGCTCAAACTTGTTTATGGCTGCTGACAGAGGAGATGCCCTGCAGCGCTGTTTTTTTTCAGATGCTCCTCATGGTGCGAAAGGATGATTCAGATGAGAAATAAAAAGCCAAGGCTGTCTGTAGCAGAATCAGTGCCTTATCAGCAGTGGTTTTATATTCTGCCCTTTTTCACACATGTCAAAACATGCAACCTAAACCACATTTTTGACCAAATGTGATCTGATGGGCTGCAGACAAATGTTAAAGATGTAAATGTGGCATGTTGCTCACCGTTGAAGAGAAAACCATCTCTACTGCTTGTCTGGTCACTTTTAGTGTTATTCCCCGCTGTCCAGAGACCCCGGTCCTTCAGCCAGAACGGTGTCCAGACCGCGTAGCAGACACACAGGCAACCGGCCAAACCCACGCAGGACTGAGAAAACCTGAAGCGACTGTTGGAGTCCCTCAGCTCCAGAAACGCCATAGTGCTGGATCACCGAGAGGCAAAGAAAACAGATCGGGACAAGAGGAACAGATGAGTATTCAGAGTGCATTGAAAGTGAGTAACAGTGAGAAGTCTTTAAACTAACCTGATGTAGGCATCAGATGAATATGATATCAGAAAGTAAAATTCTAATTAAAGTAGTGTCTTACCTGTGTTGCTGTAGAGAAAGAAAAGAGGAGCAAAGTTGTAAACAAAGTCTACACGACTGTACAAAGACTTTGTACAGCCTACTTGTACTGATCGAGACTACAAGCCCTCACTTGCAAATCAGACCCTTGAGGTTTACTCCGCCTCCGCTGCAATGGAAACTCCCCCAGGCGGCGGCTAAATTTCCCCGCGAATTCTCCACTGTGACCCGTGGCTCATACTGTAGAAAGTGAAAGCGACATTCAATATTTGAGGAAGCAGATGTTTGTGTAGAAAGATATCCAAAAACAGTAGGGGATTTAATAACTGGACTGTAAAAGGAAGTCATGGGGGTTTTTTAAAAGCCATTCGTAGTAAAATGTTAGTATGAAATGAGTGAGTGGGGGGTGTCAGTGGGCCATTATGCATGACAAAAACGTGTAAGGAAATCCCACCACTCGGGTGGCAGGGCGATGGTGGTGACGATGGCTTCGTCAAACCTCGGATATCTCTCCTCTGCGTCACACCACCAACGGAACAGCGCCCACAGCCCACCCAGCCAGACCGAGGTGTCAAAAACAGTGACGCTAACACGTCGTTGGAGCACATTTCATGAAAAATAAGACGGTAAATATCTTAAATATATTAAAATATATTAATGGACAATTCAGATGTACTCTAAATAAAATATTATAGTCAAATAAAGAACAATATTTATTCACAGATCATTACATTTTCAGAAAGTACATACTTCTGATAAAATAAAGTGCATCTGAACAAATGATAGAGTGTATTATTTTCAGGTTACAATTAAAATCTTAGAATACAGCTTGACTGATTTTGGTTGATTTAAATTTGGCATTCACTTAGCATGCGGTAAATAAACATACATTTTAGCAAGCTGGATTACAAAAAGAACAAAGTCGTGTCCCTGTGCAGATGGAAAAGAAGGCCTTGAGATGCAGGTAGAAAAGCACTTTGTCAGGTCCTTCCATCCTGGCCTCCTTTTTACGCTGCTCTTAGGTAATGTTTTATACTCTCTAACAATCTGCCAAACTTTGACTCGGTGTCTTTGGGTTTGCTTCAAGCTTTTCCCCTTTAAAGCAGGGACGAAAAAAAAGGGATGCCGAAGGGCCGACTCTTGAAACCTGGCAGCTGCATTGGTGCCTGTTTATCCTAAGCTCACTTTCTGGCTCTTTGAAGCAGGGCCTTGAACACATCAAGAATCTCTGGGTCCTCCCCGGCAGACAGCTCTGGAGTGTTTTTCTCCAGCCAATCGGAGGCATTGATCTGTTGGCTGAGCGTGCCAATCAGAGAGGCCAGGCTGTCGGGGGGCTTAGAGGCTTGGCAGTCCAGCAGCACAAACTCGTCAGCGGCCGGCGGGCCGGCGTCGGGGACGGGTCCGTTCTTCTCCGTCTCTTGGTCCGATGACTTGCTCTGAGGTGACGACGTTGAATTGACAACCGCGGCATTGTCTGAATCGGCACTGTCCTCTTTCACGGATTCGTGACCCTTCTGACTGGCTTCTTTGACGTGTGGAGAAGGGCTGGCGCTTTCCTCTTCCATTTCTCGCAAGGCCTTCCTTATTCGCTTCAAGCCTGAAAGAACACAAAACATCAACAGAACAAAGTCAGCAACTATATCCATTAAAAGCAGAGACAAAAATAAGACGTTGAAACGTTGTTTAAGTGAAGAGTATGGGAATTAGAGTGAACAGCAACTATCCAGATCAGCTTTTTCAAGTTTACGGATGACTGAAGACTGACCGAGCTGAAGGTGGTGCTGTTGGTCTGCGAAGACAATGCGGAACCAGCCGGGCGTGGGGCAGAAGAAGGCCTGACCGCAGCTCAACACCACCTTGTGTCTGAGGAAACGCCTCCACAGGGCCAACTCCTCCTCAAACGTGGACTCTCTGAGGTACTACCAAAACAAAGACGTGGAAGAGACACGTCAAGGGCTCTGAAAGGAACGCGCCATGTTTTCCAGAAATATCCGCGTGGGGTCACGTTGCATTAGTGCCGGAAGAACATAAAATATATCAGCACCAACGTCGCAGAGTGACTTTGATATGGTTACCTCTCGGAAGTCGGCCCAGACGAACAGCGAAGCGGCTCTGTGCAGGTAGGGGATCCTCATGCTCAGCAGCTCTCCGGTCAGGTAAGTGTGAGCAGCTTTCAGTCTGCATCGGTTCTTGGGCAAAAACTCGTCGCTGATCCACTCTGGAACACAAGAGTGTTAAGTGACGAGCGGCAAAACCACAAAGAAGGGCCGATGTTTAACCGCTACAAAAGCACACTTCTGAATTTTTAAACAGAAATTATTCCAGTTCAGCTATTTAAAACAAAAACAAAAAAGCCTGCTTGCTATGTGTAAGGACGGCAGATTATTTTCCCATAAAGCCCATGAGAAGCTTGGATCCGTACCTCTGTCCTGGAGCAGCTGTGCTACCTGGTGCTGGGTGGTTCCAGAGATACCGTGGAAAGCGCCCAGCTTGGCCATAGCCTCCACAAGGTCTGTGTTCTCGGTATACAGAGTGCCTAGTCTGGTTCCTGCCATTGCAAAATCCTATAACAAAAACAAAAAGAAATGAATATACATCTTGGCATACATACATGGGATGTCCCGCCTGTGTTTAAACCACCCTCAGCATGTGTGTGTGTGAGCAGTAGGATGCTGGGAAGAGCCCAGAAAGCAACTCGGGGCTCAGACATTTTGGACAGCAGAAGCAAACTGAACCCACTGAGGAACAACGAGAGATTTGCCCGTGCTGCGAGGACGGGGGGGGGGGTCGGAACAAGTCTCACATCTCATCTACTGATACAGTGCAGAACGGGCCGTACCTTACTCAGACCCCACATGACGTGTGTCCTCTGTGCGTCGGGCAAGCTGAAAGAGGAGCAGATTGTCTTTGGCCACATTCATTATGATTAGCGCTCTGATAAGAGCCCTCGCGCGTCCATGCAGTACCTGTCTATCCTGAGAACACTGTGAAAGGCAACAGGTTCTTCAAAGACCGTCAGCATGTAAATTTCATCAACGATAGCGTGGAGCTCATTTCTAAAGTAGGAGAGAAGGAGAAGTAAGTATATATATATATATATATATATATATATATATATACACACACACACACACACACATACACACAGTGCAGCAATAATAATAATAAACCTTAGTTTTGTGTTGTTAATCATTGTTTTATGAGAAAGAAAACGCAACAGGAAGGTAAAGCGGTCCCCCTCAGCGTCCTGCGCCAGTGCAAAAGCACTGTGGTTTACGGTTACAACAGCTTAGTGCCTGCAAGCAGGAGGGAATTAATCTGGCAAGATGATTTAGAAAACATGATGCAGGAGGCTCCTTGGCACATAGCTGCACTTCACAATATGCTGATGGTTAAGAGAGGTGATAAAACTCCATCAAGACCGCTTGGTATTCCGCGCACGCGGGGCACAGCTCTCGGGCTGTAAAATAAAACCATTCCCATAAGACCTGTACGCAGTGCTCTGGCACTTTGTGCCTGAGAATTACAGCGTTGGGCCACAGCGGGAGATAGTAGCGGGAAAAACATACCTTTTGGCAAACTCCAAGAAGGCAATCATCTCTTCGGGGGTGTAGATCTCAGCCAGAGGGTTGTGGGGGTTCATCAGTATGACCGCTCGGATACTCAACCCCTAGAAGAGACGGCCAGGTTCTAAATAAATATGAACCGTGAAGCTGTAAAACCATCACCGAGGATATCGTTAAAGAGCGTTCAAAGCCTTTTTTTTTCTTTTTTTTTAAATGAGAGCTTCTTCTAAGCGTTTTGGGAACCGTTTAGTCCATCTTTAATAATTCATTCAAGTATTTAAGACTAACCACGCTTATAAATTACCTTTTGTCTAGCCCTTTCAAGCCCTTCCTCGAGTTTGCTGACAGTAAGGTGGAAGGGCTGCCCGCCTTTGCCATCGGCCTAAAGATGAAAAACAACATTCAAATTGGACATTCAAAGGTGAATAGAATAAGCCTACGAATGTGAGATGGACTGAATGTCTACGACCAGTACGACACCAAATACAGAGCAAACATTTTAAACAATGATAAGCACTGCAAGAATATCACGCTCTGTATTCCTACCTCACAGTTAAGAGGAACATGGAAGAGATTGACATCGCTGTACAAATGTAGATCCTCGGTGATGACACCGTAGAAAGGAGTAGGAATAAGAATGGCATCTACAACATGAAACACACAATGAGCACTGAAGAGCAAACACACACATCAAGACCTACATAGGGAACGATTTAGGGTTTTAGCGGGGGGTCAAATTAGCAAATTTACCAGGCATTTTTGCACAAAACACAATGATCCACGTTGACAGTAAAGTGGGCAAACACACGCTACCATCATCAGCCTCATCATTTTCAAAGCACTTGTTGAGCAAAACAAATATTTGACAATGCTTTAAAATGCCGGCACTAAGGAACAATAAATTGATAAATTATTGAAAATGTGTTTTGTTAAATGATTATGCAATAACCCAATCATTTAGGTTTTACACAATGATCATTTTGAACAAAAAGAGTGCACATATTTGCATTAGTATGGATGTATTGTGTGTGCCAGAGCAATCTGAACCTACCTTTAGGGTCACAAATTACTGCAGCAATACATGAGAAGAGGGAACTGCAGCCATTCATCACCACAACCTGCACAAGCAAACGCACACAAACCCACTGTGTTATGAGGGACCCAATTAAAGCACAGATGGGGGCCTGATAAATATGCTACAAATTCATACAGCTGTTAATTACATCATCTGTAAATTGCGTTGAAGGCCCCACAAAAAAAACCCTAAAATAATGTTAGTTCAGTTGCATTTAGTCTTTGTAGACATAGAGAGATAAACTCATTGAATCCACTGCCTTCCTTTCTGACAAATTGTTGTTATCACAGTGACTTCTGCAGTAGGAGAATAAAATATTCATCAAATATTTGTCAGTGTATTTATTTCACAACTTGCTGGAAATATGTGCAGTCATGGGAAGGAACCCTTCTTTACACATTTCACAGCTACCCTGATGGACGACCGCTACAAAAACAAAACAAAGAAACATGGATGGATCCCGGTGTTAAACTCACCCAGCTGTCAACCAAGAGGAAAACACTACACAATTAGAGGTGCAAGTCAATCAGTGTGCACAACTGCCTTCTTTATTCACCTCAACAAATGTCTTTCAGCAGTGCAACAACTCCTCCTAAGACTTTTAAATGATTTATAGGTCAAATTGCAGCGCTGTATCGTGCTTCAGGTGACACTACCGTCAATCTAACAGGCTAAACTATTAAATATTGTTTACCAACTGTACAGTTGATAAAGTAGTATTATGCAAAAGTATATTTCCCTCCAATATGTCGTGCGGGGAAAGTAAACGCTGTCGTCTTACAGAATGTGACGGGCTATTTGGTGTATTAAATTGACTGGGGCGGCTGTTAAAAGCAACGCTCTTCACTCACGTTGTCAGCTTTCAGTGGTTTTGGAGAACAGCAGTAGTGAGTCAGGAACTTTGCAACCTCCCCTCTCAGGCTGAAAAAGAACAAAAGGTAATAAAAACGGCTTTAGTTTTAAAAAAAAAGCTATAGTTCAAATTTAACAAAAATAACTCTTTATTGTCTTACAATGTGTGTCCCCGCCAGTCGGAATACTGCAACAAGGATGAGCCAACATACAGCATGTCAGGCTTGGTGAGCTGCAGCAAAGAAGAAAAGTAAATTCTTTTGTGAATGCAGACAGAATGATTGAGATTACTAGGCTTAGAATGCAGCTCGTACCCGTCTATGAAGAAGATCATAGCAGAGCTTGTTCTCACTGGTGCCCATGTTGATTATGCCCTGCGAGTGAGGTAAAGAAATGTAAAACATTCTTTATGATTTCATTTCTCGCCACATCCGAGACGTTATTTCTTGACGCGGACTCACGTCGGGGTTCTCTGTGTTGTGGTATTTGTCCATCGCGTACTGGGCAAAGCTCTCCTGGAGAATGCCTTGATTTTGCCGGATGCTGTTGCCGCGGTTGGACAGGTACACGCTACGGCCGACAGGCGAGGCGGCTCTCGGAGTGGGCAAAACAGTCGGGGACACTCCGCAGGCCTTCGCGGATGACGGCGCGGGAACCGCCGGTGTGGCGAGAGCCTCCGAGGGGGGCCGAGACGACAGCGACGACGTGACGGAGGCCGGCGGTGCTGACGGGCGAGCCGGGTAGGAGGAGGACGGGTCGGCCGCCGGCGTCGCCGCGCCCTGTTTCACGGCGGCCAGTGCCCGCGTGAGCATGCTGAACAGGCGCAGCTCGTGCTGCCGCTCCTGCTCCGCCCTCCTCTCCTCCCGCTGTTCCCTGCGCTCCTCGGCCTGCAGCTCTCGCTCCAGCCGCGCCTCCTCCAGGGAGAGGAGGCGCTCCTCCGCTGACCGCTGCCACTTCAGGAAGCTGGCCATGGCTTTATCCAGGCTCTTCTGGCTGCCGCACCTGGCGGCCCCGTGGCCCCGAGTGGTTTTGCCACCCAGGCGTCGCTTCCTCTGCCTGACAGACGTCGGGGGATGAGGGGCCGGCTTGCCGGGCCGGGCGGGCGCGTCCTGCGCCGCGGGAACAGCCTCCGTGGCAGATCCAGCAACATTCAGGTCACGAAAACCTATGGGTATGAGTTAAATAGAGGTTTGATTACACATCACTTTCTATTGTATTGATATTGGTATTGATAGTATTCAGATTGACCACCTGAAGGTGAGATTCTGGCATTTGTCGAGACGTCCTCGGGCCCCAGGAGAGACTGCCCGTCGGCCTCCTGGTCGTCTCCAGACCCGTAGTACATCTCGGGGGGAGCGTCGTCTGCATTCAGCATGCCCTCCTCAACGTCCTCGCACTTGATGGCCAGCGGATCGCCGGCTTTCGGGGGCTGACCAAACAGAAACCCACCCGAGGAAGTGGGGCCGAAGGCGCCTGCTGCCGGAGGCCCCTGCAGGTACGCCTCAGGCCCGGCGGCGTGGCCCTGAAACACCTGTTGGGCGATGACCGCTCCGCCCATGGAGGAGTAGGTGATAGCCGGCCGGTTGGCCAGCACACGGTCCATCACGTCGTAGAACTTCCACGACCTCAGCTTGTGGTTGTCCTTGATGCGGCGGTACTCCAGCTTCATCTTCTTGATCTTCTCCCGGCACTGGTCCCCGGTGCGGTAGATGCCCTTCTCGCGCAGGATGTGGGCTATGCGGTCAAACACGCGCTGGTTGCGCAGCGAGCTCTCCAACTCGATCTGGACCGACTCGTCGGACCACAGCTGCAGCAGCTCCACTATCTCCGGGTCGGTCCAGTTGCTTCCCCGCTCGTGCCTCCGGCCGCGGAAGTCCATCCCCTTTAAGTTACGGGAAACTGTCTGCAAGACAAGACGAAAGGATAATGGGGGAGAAACATTGGGGGGGGGGGGGGGGAAGAGTGGGCACCGCTGCCTCGGAATACCCGCACACGACGTTCTCAATGTAACATTAACGTTAGTTTATTTAAACAACGAAGGCGCGATATTTACCAGCTGGTGATCTCTGGCCGCTTAAGTACGAGTGCAGCTCTCCGGCAGCAGATTGTTTTTTTGGGGGCTGTCACTCTTACGTGACCCTCACGTGGGTTCATTCATGTCACGGTCCGGTCAGCCGGTTTCTAGTGGATCGAAATGCTAGCGCTTTATTCTGCCGGTACTGTTTACTTCATTTTCAGCAGCTCGTTATGATTTGTCATAACTTAGCTGGACTCCAGGCTACTGCCGCGTACGAAACATCCACATCCGGGTTTGTTGCACATGCGTGCTGTCCTTATTCCGGGATAACTTTGGTCCGCGCTAAGGGGTAGCTGCTTGAAAGGGTGCTAGGGTTCACTTATATACCAGGCTATGTAACGGCTAGACGACACAACCGTACGAGTCACACCAGGGAACGTTGTGCTACGGCCCCCTCTAGCGTACGGTGGGCTTCGGGCACCCCCCCATGCATGTAGGGTGAATAGATATCCACAAGATGGCGGTCACACACAGAGGTTACATGTACGGTACAAGACCGGCTGACTTGAAAGGGGATGTGTGTTTTGTTCACACGCGCAGCGCAGTAATCCAGTAAAGCGATTAAAAAACGACGATCGGGTTTGCAATCACACAAAAAGAATTACTCTCAAAAAAAAATCTGTTTTAGCATCAGCAAAGCAATTTTTACACTCTGTAGGTAAAACTAACTAATTGCTATACGTATATACTTGTACATAATAGATTGCTACTTTATTATTATGCCATATGAATCAACAAGCTAGTCAATTTCACCTAATTCTGAGGTTTAACTGGTAATGGCGAATATAGGGTAGGTAAAGGTGACCTCGGGCAAGTTCATTCCAGTTTTTTGTCTGCATTGAAACAATCACCCGTCCCTTTCGGCGACCACGGTGTACAAATCGAGCACTAGCGGCCCATTATGTGACGTATTTCCTGGTGAAAATGGTTTGTGGCAGTTTGTTGTCATCTCCATACAGTGCTGAGCCGTTATATAGTATTGGCATGTAGCCCCATTTTTCTCAATTTTTTTCTCCCTCCCATCCGTGTATTTATTTAGCCAGTGAATTTATATCAGCATAACGTAACCCGTAGCAAGCAACAAAAAAAAATCACGTGAAACAACTGACCAAAGCCCGCTAAGAACAAATCAACGGGCAAAATGTAACCCAAGTGACGCTAGTGGCAAGTTGGTGGAGGGTTTAACGTGGCCGTCACCTGGAGGGAGGACGGGCGCGATCGCCCCTTATCACTGCTGGCTTCCGCGGACCCGCTAGCTAAGTGGGGGACGTACCGCCTCGGGGTTAGATGGGAAGTCAAACCCTCGGGAGGAAGGAGAGTCTCCGCCCGCGGGAAGAGGAGGAAGACGATGAGGAGGCAGGAGGTCTCGTGCGAGCATCCTAGTTTCGCGAGTTAGCGAGATGTGTTGAGAGCAGGGAGGAGGGAGGAAAGGGGGGGGGGGGGGCTGTGGAGGAGTGGGTGGGAACAATGGGACGATTCGCGGAAAGCATGAAGGCTCTTTTTGCGTAAAGTCTCTTTTTTTTTCTCCCCAGCGCTTGCCAGCACCAGCTTTCACCAGTGCTCCCAGTCAGGCGAGCGCTCCCACAGAGAGAGCGGCGTTGCCTCCATACGGGTGGAGCCTTTTTATTTTAGTTGTTGTTTCGTTACCGGAGTGAGAGATGACCTGACCGGGCTCGTGCGCAGCGCTTCCTCGCTGAAGTTTATCGTCGGTGAGATGACGGCATGCTTTCTTCTAACTCTTGTTTCGTCTTTGCTGTGTAGCTATCTGCAGCGCGTCTGGTGTTGGTTCTGCTGATTCAGGTTACCTTTATTTCTCTCTCCCCCCCCCCTCTCTCCGTCTCCCTATTTTATTTTTCTCATTCCATTTTAAATTACTACAAAACCAGAACAACCTATTTGTGTGTACTTTAAAAAAGGAATCGCTCAGTTTGAACAAACTGTTAAAAAAAAGCAGTTCAACTCGTCCTATGCTGTCTTGTGATTTATTATTGTTATTGACCTTAATTTATTTATTCATCTTGACCTCAAGTGCAACTCCCAGTGGGATCGCAGCAAGGTAGTAGGTCAAGGTCACCAGCCACCGAGGAGAAAAGCAGGGCTCTAAGCTTCCCTCCTCAAATGGACACCTCGTCGTATTAAAGATCCCCCCAATAAGACTTAACACTACATCTTCTGACGTCCAAGTCAGTTCAGCTATCCAGGCTATTTAAAAGGGATGCTCCTCTGTGCCCATGTGCGGAGTGTTGGCTTATCACGCACACCATCTCTCGCTCTTGATTCCTCAACAACGCTGCTAACTGCGTCGTAGCAAACTCTTTATGACAAAAAACATAAAACAGGAACGCAGTGCAGGAGATGGAAGTAGGAAGACCCCCCCCCCCCCCCCCTCTTCCCCAGGTGTCAACACTAACTCATCTATACAGTAGGGCACAGCGTGGTGGATGAGCGGGTGTTTGACACAGGGAACAATGCCAGGGTTGTGATGGCTGGATCTCTCTCTCTCTCTCTCTGGGACATCACTCACAGAAATGGTTCCTTTCTGCCGGACACGTTGCTGCCGCCCCGGACAAGGTCGTTATCAGGCTTCTCCATCTCAATCTCTCTGGGCGGCGGGAGGAAAGATGGACGGATCGTCCCCCCGCCCCCCCCCCCCCCCCCCTCCCTTCAAAATGGGCCCCCCTTGCGATAAAAGCGGAATTTACTTTCCACTGTTCTGTACGCGGAACTTAAGGGGAGCCAAACATGCCCACACAAAAACAACCGGGCTTGCCAATCCCAACCCAATTGGAGGAATTTCCCTCACTCGGGGAAAGAAAGATAGGCTTTCCCCCAGGTCTTCTCTAATGCGTGGGAAAGAGTCTTACTCTATCGGAAAAAACGAGGCCAGAGAACTAAGCGCGCCGATGATTCGGCTGGCGGGGCAGTCTGAACTAGAGCTGGAGTGCTGCGTTGGGTTTGTCACAGCGTAGAGTGCCTGTCCGTGCCGATGGGAAAACGCCCTCTCACCTCCATCAAGTGATGTGTTCCTCTGTCACAGGATTTATATTGGGCCTCTCGGGGGACATACTAGTGTCGAGGGAGTTAACTGAATGCATATGCTGCACGTTTGGGCTTTCGTACCTGCTCATGTGACCCGGGGGGCTTTCGCTGATGTCGTGCGGGTTTTTCTCAATTCTCTTTAGATTAGATTTAGATTAGATTCAACTTTATTGTCACTGCACAGGGTACAAGTACTGAGGCAACGAAATGCAGTTTAACATCCAACCAGAAGTGCAAAATAGCAAAAAGTGCAGAGTATGTGCATATGTAAAGTGTAATAAGTGAATAAATAGATATGTACAGTAAGAAATAGTTGTGCAATATGAACAGTAAGAAATGGATATGCAATAACAGTGTAAATGTTCAGTGGCTGGAGGAAGGTGTGTGGCAGTCAAGCCAGGGTGGGGGGGGGGAGGTAGTCACTGAGGGAGATGTGTGTGTGTGGGGGTGGGGGGCAGAGTTCAGGGGGGGCAGAGTTCAGTAGAGTGACAGCCGCAGGGATGAAGCTGTTCCTGAACCTGCTGGTCCGGGAACGGAGCACCCTGTAGCGCCTCCCAGAGGGGAGGAGGGCAAACAGTCTGTGGCTGGGGTGAGAGCCGTCCTTTTTGATGCTGCGTGCCCTCCGCAGACATCTCTTGACTTCCCATTCCTTTTAGAACCAGCACTCTAAAGAATTCGACCTAGACTTGTACAATGGAATCTTATAATGCGTTGGACTCGATGCCGCGGTATTGACGATGTGCCGGCGTTATCGGTTTGACTGTCGAGCAGCATAAATCATCTGTGATTAAGCAGCGTTGGCCAATAATAACTCCTGCCCGTGTGTGTGTGTGTGTGTGTGTGTGTGTGTGTGTGTGTGTGTGTGTGTGTGTGTGTGTGTGTCGAGCTGTTTAGCCCGTCGTATCATGTAACCGTAACACAGGCTCGACAACCAAATAAGCAACACATTGATACGGTATTAATACGACCATATCGATATCGCCGCGCTTAAGAATTCCCCCGCAGATTTTGCTAGATTTATGCACACTCTATTTGCAGCTTAACATACGCAAAAAGCTGTTTTTCCTCTCAGCTGCAACTCCGTGTAACATCCAACGGGGTAGAGCACTGCTGGATACTCTGTTGCCCACAGGCTCAAATGACTGTACGCACAGTGTTGATGCGTTGCTGATCCATCACCCTCTCTCCACTCACAGGACCGGAATGCCTCTGGTTGTTTTTGTTGTTGAACACAACTCAACATGATGATTCATGGTCTTTTGATGGAATCCTATTGTGACAAAAGCCTATTTGGAGATCTTGTAAAACCCAGTTATGTCGGATTATTTATGCGCTGAAGTTCTTAGTCAAGTGTTTAAATGATCATTATGAGTTTTCTAGGCGTAACGTCCTTTCAAAATGTTTTCGTAGGAGTTGGCCGTTGATGCTGTTGTGTTCAATAATAAGAGAAAGCGTTTCTCAGAATACCAGAGTCTTCGCTCACCAACCTCATCCTTGTGAGATGTAGTCAACATTGTTTTTGTTCTGTCAATGGCTTAAAACCGAAGGTGCTGAATTAATAATTCAGCGCTGTCAGGCTATTTTAGCAGGTCACCTGTCCACCCGCACAGTTCCAGCGGCTCACTAACTCCAGTGTAACGCTTCCTCAAAAAGACATTATGCAACCGGTTTTGCCTTTTGTTGTTGTTGTTTTAGGTCCTTCGGTGCATATGCACGGCTTGAAGGTTGAAGTTTGATCTCCGTTGCGGGCCTTTGATGTGTATTGTACGAGTCTAGCGGCCTCTAGTTAACTCCTCTCCGGGTCGTGTTTGTAGAGGAGGTGTTTATGGGCGTTGTGTTATTATGTGCTCGTTATTTTCTGCAATAATGTGTGTGTGTGTGTGTGTGTGTGTGTGTGTGTGGGGGGGGCGACACTCCCTTCTCTCCTCCTCCTCCTCTCCCTGCATCTATTCCACCCTCTCGGTGACAGCGGACCCCCCCGCCCCTGTTCTTGTGGCTCCAGCGTGGCGTCTAATGAGCTCAGAAGAACTGCACCACAGGGAGAGTGACGGCTCCTGGTCGTGTTTCCGCCAGACATCCCGCTGCTCTGCAATCCACACCCACTCCTAGATGAATCTGCCGCAAAACAGACCTGTCCAGAACCAGAAGGCGTCTTCTCTTTAAATAGTTTGGATGTGTGTAACTCACAGAAGCAGTTGTCAGGGTGAAACGGAGGCTCAGCGCAGCCTTATGCCAGTTAAAAACTTTCCTTACCGGAGCCGTTCCCTGTGTGGGACGATGGACCAATTACCTCGCTACTTTTACAATTGCCCACTGCCTGAGTGTCTTTGCATTGGTTTTATTTACCAAGTCCACAAGAGCAAGGTCGTCCATTTAACTGGACTAATGCTAAGTGGGAAAAAATCTATATGGATGCACTAAACGTGAGTTTCTTTTACATGAGAGTAAACGATTGTCAAACCTCACGCCGTTCTCTACGAGGAGTGAAAGGCCGGCTATTTTTCAGTCTTTTTGTATGTCCATGGGTCACATGTCATCGGATCCCTGAAAAGTTCCCTCAGTATGACGGGATCGTCTCAGCTGCCGCGCCTTGTAACTGTTGTTACGTGTTATGTGCTGTCTTTATTACCACTACAGTTACTTGGTCCCAAGAGACATGGGGACAAACCCTAAGGCCAGAATCCCTTGATTGCGATGCACTGTGAGGACACGCCGCTTTCTCCTTTCTCCTTCAGTGGCCGTGAGGGGTCCAAGCACATTGAGGCACAGTCGGGGGAACAGTCCGTTCTACTGCATGTCGGCCTCACCTTGCAGAAGATCGACTCCCGTTGTTTTTCAAAAATCCATTAACAAGACTTGACAGTCTAAAGCTCCATAACGTTCCCGTAAAGGCCACAACGGTCCCAACGAGGGACGACTAGATTCTTTCTGTTGCACAGTGTTGCTGCCTTCAAGAACTGGGGTTAAAATGTAGATCGAGAAAAGACCACATTGCCATTGGACCCAACGTGGTGTATCGCCGTGGAAAATTATAAAGCAAAAAAAATCATTAAAACCTTTTTTTAGATTGCACTGTTATCATGCTTTACCTCCTTAACTTGCTTGGGCGTTAATGTTGTAATTTAGCAAACAAAATGTAACTGAGAATAAATAGTAAAAAACAGGATACAAGTAGCATTTGCATCCATGAGTGGCTTCACACATTATATATAATATATATATATATATATATATATATATAACTTTTTGTATGTGTGTTTATCTTGTGAGCACAACGAGAGTACCGAGTTTAGATGAGAGCAGCTCCATTGAGTCCTCAAAATAAAGGGATTATCCTTTTTGAGGGGGCATGGATGTGATCAGTCATTTATATTGAATTTTTAAACCCAACACAACAGACTTAATTCAAAAGGCTTAGACTGAACGCTTAAGGTAGCTGCTGTTTCTTTTCACATGAGTGTAGCAGGGATTGACTCTCTGACGTGCAGAGCAGTGGCACGCCGGTGGGATCAGCAGTGGAACTGGACCGCCACTTACACCTTCATCCCCTCCCTCCTCTTCATTTCCCTCTCGGCTGGGCCGGTTTACTTTGCCGTTTCCATTGGCGAGTCTGTTAATGTGTGACTTACTGGCTCTGTTCCCACAACAACACAACAACAGCTGCAAATAAAAAATAAATGCAGAAATACCCCGACCATGCTTCCTTTTAAAATATGCGAAAATTATGGTTTCCTTTTATCTTGCGTGTTACTTTACTATTCGATTAAAATATGCACCACAGTAGTTTGTTATAATTAATTAATGCTGGATTTAAAATGTAGGAATATTGTGTAAATGTAAATGTCCTCTCCCTCGGACCTCGGCTGGCTGAAGCTCATCCCGTACGCAGCCTCATGCCCTACTGTATTTCATTATCATACATTACAATTTGAGCTTATGAGAAAGTTTGTCCTACTTTTTATTCTTTGCACATTTGTGAAGATGTTTTTTTCCCCCCCCCCTCAGAGTTGTCAAGGGGCAGTAAGCAAATTGTGAAGCATTGCGCTGTTTATTTGTGCTTTCAGTTTGGGGTTTGCTCTCTGAAATGGTGTCAGCAGGAGGCCATTTCTTGCCCGTGGGCGACCCAGTTAAGAAGCCTGTGTTAGCGTTTAACAGCCGACTTTTGTCCCTCTCGTCCCCAGGACACTGTTCTCCTACCTGCTGTGAGGTAGCGCAGCCCCATTCTTCCCTGGAAGAGCAGTGACAGACGGACGGACGGACCGCCCCGTTGGAGTCTGCTCCTTTTCATGGATGCCAGGTTGGCCCTGCTGCACCTGTGGACAGTCCTTGTCCTCCTGACAGCAGAACTGAAGCGGATTGATGCCGCGGAGGTCTACACCAACACTTGGGCTGTCCAGATAAATGGGGGGCCGGAGGAAGCCGATCGCATCGCCAGGGAACACGGCTTCATCAACTACGGCAACGTAAGCCCTTCTTCTTAAATACAAGTACACGCGCGTGGGTCTGTGAGTTTTTGCCGTCACACACAACGACTAGCGTGTCCGCGCACAGCTCGGGCTTGTGGGTGAAGCCCAGTGTTACCAAAACTATTGTGCATCTGAGAGCCAGACTTGGCCCCCCCACAGGCATTCCTGTTTTTGCGGAAAAGTTCCAAATACTGTGGCCCTCTCCCCCCTGGTCGTGTTTTTAAGTGGGGCACGCGGCGTCTGCAAACACTCTGGCAGACAGTTGTGTTTACAGAGCAAGTGTTCGAAAGAGACGTAAATAGCGAGACTATTATTGCATCGTCTCAATAAAGGTTGTTGTATTTAATTATGATGTAGGCGCTTTACTTTTATTGTCCCCACTACAGTGTCTGTCCGTCTTCGGTGTTCCCAAGTGATTTTAATTAAGTCGGCTGTGGTGTCATACAGTCGGCAGATAAGAAAAATAATTTGAACAGAGGGGGAGAGGGGTGAGTCGTGACTAAGCTAAGCTTTTCCTTGCTTGTGCTCAGCAGTTGACGTCGCTTCGTGGTCCCCCCCCACCCCTTCATTCTTCATTTGCATGCGTCTTTGTGGACCTTCCTGAGTGCTACGCACGCCAGCGAACAGCCTTCTGGATTACTTCTTTGGGATAGACGTAGGTGGTTCTGCATATTCCCAAATGCATATTCCTTCTCCCCACTTTAAATGAAGAGGATTTTCTAAGAGCGGGGCTTTGCAAATTGCATTCAGGGTTTTTTTTTGTTGTCCTGATTGGAAAGCCAGATGTTTTTTATTCTCCCTGTTACCATAGAGAACAGATGTCACTTGGATTTACGGCAATCTGAAAAAGATTAGACGTGAACCATTATTAAAAGTTCTTTATTGTCCAGCACATTACACTGCATTGTGTTCACGTGGTCTGACGTATACGTTCAGTTCGGTTTTGAAACTCGTTGTATTGATGTGGACGGTTGTTCCGACAGTGGAAACGCATTCTACTGTGCAGAGAAGAAAAAGACATTAGGTCTAATGGCCCCTGGCAGAGTTTTACTCTTAATTTTTTCCTAAAGAATCAATCTCTAGTCTTAGTGAGTTTTTTCGTAAAATAAAATGTTAATATTCTGCGCAACGAGCGCGAGTACATGTTCCAGACAACCGCCCAGGACACAAGAAACGTCCCTTTTCCATTGACCGAGGCTTTCGTCTTTCTTTCATAACCTCCTAATGTGATCACTTTCCCTAAAAAAAAAAAACTTGCATGGCTTTCCTCATGTCACCCAAACCACAAAGACATCCGCCTCTGTTCTGTCTCTTTGACCAATCGGTTGATGGGGAGACATCCCCCACCTCCTTCCCCCCCCATGCCAATTTGTGATTAAGTAGGAGGAGCAGAGCTATAGAAGAAGGCTGTCACTGAACGTGCATCCGTCGTGCACACTGGCCCCCGAATGGGAGTGTCTCCTCAATGTGAGGCCTAAAAAAATAAAATAATACAGACTCGCAAGATGCCCGTCTACTTCACAGATAGTGGAGCTTTTTTTTTATCCACTTTTGATGTCAGAGTCAAATATTGTGGATATATAAACGTCTCGAGTTTTGAGGGGGGAAAAAAAATCACATATATGGCTTTCTTCCCTGCTTTTTATTTTTCTCCTTCCTTTTTCCAGGAACCAAACTGCTTAAGTGCAGATTAACCGGAAGGATGAAGTTTAGCATTGTCCACCATCTGAAATGATATTTTGTGTGAGTGCGTCTCCAGCTGTTGTTTCACCGAGGCACCCGAATCGAATAGTCTCCGCTGAGTGGCGGCCCTCTCTGAGACGGACGGACGGACGGACGGACGGTCGGGGCGGGTTACGCGAGGCCGCGGGTTGAGCGAGGCTTCGTGCGTCTGCGGGCCTATAGGGAAACGGCTTAGTCATTTCTTTCGTCATCCTTGGTTGTTCTGTGGAGCTCTTGAAGAGAGCAAGGAGGCGGATGTGCCCTGTAATCAGGAGGTAAATGGGATTTTTATCGCTAATGTGATTACTGGATCATCACGTAACTGATTGTTTGTTCCCCGCAGTGCTCAGAAATGCTTCATTGTTTTTATGCTTTATTTATTCCAGATTCACTTATTGCCGCGGCCGGGAGGGGAGGAGAGCGTGTTTGTGTAAACGCGCGTGGGTGCGCACACATGTATTCAACGCCAGGGTTTGAGTGCAAAAGCCATCAAGACTTCCCAGTGTGTGCAGCGGCATTTTACGAGTAGCCGCGGAGGGTTGTTGTTTCTTTGTAATAAGTTCAGTGGTGTGTGTTGTTGTTTTTTCTTTTTTTTCTTCCTTTCCTTCTTTTTCTGCTAATGTTTCTGTGTCTGCGTGGGCATCCCACTCCGGGGTTTAGAGCTAAATGTCGCGGCGTGTTTCTCGGTTAACAGAGTCCAAATCGTTGTTTTTTTTCTGCGTGGGCGTCGACGAACTGACCGGCGCCGCTCCGTGCGGTAGACCGCTCGATGCCAGAGCCTTTCTATGGCTCCCTCTGCCTCCATCTGGGTCCCTTAATCTCTCTTCTATTCATAGCTAACTTACACCAGAGCTTTGGCAATAAGCGTAAATGTAACCTGAAATAAACAATACCACAGGTTATCCAACGCCCCCCCCCCCCCCCTCCTCCAACAGTTCGGGGGGGGGGGGGGGGGGGGCAATGCAGTGTCCCGGGCCACGCAGGGCCGTCGTTTCCAGCCTGTCTCCAAATGTCTTGATTGCGCTCGCCCCGTGTCGGCTGATTGTGCTGTAATATTCCATCAAAATTCAATATTCCTGCTGCAATTTCTGGCTTTTAAGGAGCGCCGTTTGCCAATTTCATCCCATCACAACACCCCGAAAAACACGCACACTTACTGTCGCCGTGCCACGGAGAATGTAATGTGCTCCGGTGCCACTGTGCCTGTCACTCTGCAGGTGGTGCCCTGCCAACCCGCGTGACGCAGCAGCCGACTGGCTCATTCTCGCTCCGTCCACTGGATTTAAGTGCGGTGTACCAGCATGAGAAGTAAGAAATGCAATACATGAACTCTGTCTTTCTCTGCTCGACGATTGACTTCATGTTTTATTGCTTTAAAGGACACAGGAGCGTTTCAGAATGCCAAAGTGGTCCGTGTGTGAGGAGAGTTTGAGTGTTTTCAATTTTGAGTTTCAAAGCGAGCTCCAATCAGGATGATTGTATCAGCCAGATAGTTGCTTTTATCTTGATTTCACTTGGGTTATGTACAATTGGGAAGTGCGTGTGTGTGTGCCAGTTAATTTGTTTGTCTAGCTAATGTTCTTGTCCTTATTTGAAGGTAATAGGAACATAAAAAGTATCTTTCTGTTTCTCCATCCGTGCACGTTGTTCATGTCCTCACACTCATAAACCCACAGCACACCGTTCTGTAGCAATGGCCGTACCTGCAGTATTTGCTGTCTTCTATTTCCCACGGGGCTTTTAAAGGGAAAACGACTAGCGCCTCTATGCATGAAGTCTTGCCATCGGCGCTAACGAACGTCTCCAGGGGGGCTAATGATACATTATAATGGTACCAGGAGAACATTCTGAGAAAGTGTAAGAATACTACTACTTATTTATATATTTTTTCTCCGTCCAGAGTCATTTTCAAAATTATGTGTTTTTTCCTTTATTCCTTTATTCTTCTTTCTCACTGCAATGACTTTTGAAGAAGGGAAATGTGTCCTTGTAGATGTTTCTGAAGGGATACATCTCAAATTGTCTCTGTTTCAAATTGTAATTTAGGAATTCAACCCAGTTCAAAGGAATCTTCATTTGTAAGAGGCAAAATGGACATGATCATGACAAAACAAAATTCCAAAAATAGGGAGACTAGTATAGTATAGTATGAGGTCATAATAGCAAGTTAGCATTATAATTCATACAACTATGCATATGACTGTATGCTTTATTCCTATACAGAGCTACAAATGTAAAATATGCTGTGTTGCTCTCAGCGTATTTAGACCTTTATCTTGTTGGTTTATATACTGTGATTTAGTTTATTATCAACTCAAAATATGAATATTAATACAGATGGAATGACTGACAATGCCTAATTAAATTCCTGCTCTCTCATTTCCTCCAAAACATCATTAAGCTGCATGACCTTATCCAAAGCCCTCGACTGATGAAGCTCTTCCATATCCAGATGCACCAACTGCATCTAATAGATATTTATCCGATGCTACCGCATCATTAGCATGTTATGTGCGCTACAACAAACTAGAATCTGAATTTGTCAATACTTTTGTGAAAGGGAGAGTGGCCGTTTTGGTAACCGATGGTATTTCATTGTTATTTGATCTGTTGACAAGCAGCTCGGCTGCAAAGCGTTCGTTGATAAGCAAATATTGGAAAAGCACGCAAGTTATCTTCCATCCCTGTATCCCTCGGGAGTTTTGTGGTGGACTTTTTGTAATAGCCTGATTATTCTTGCAAGCCACATCTTTTTCTTGACTCCCCGATGCCGGCTCATTCTGAACTGACCAGAGGCTGTAAATCTGTTCCCCATGTGGGTAGTTAAAAATGTCTCCCTTATGGCACCATTCCTTATGGATGCTTAAAGAATTACTCAAATGCATGTACCTTGTGGCTACAGAATGATAAATGATGTTTTATTCATTTATACAATCTATCATTAAAACAAGTATTTAATAAAAACGTATAGAAGTATTTTTTCCCTAATGATTCCCGCCGTTACTTAACACTTCACAATGTGCATCAAATCTCCATAATAGATTATGAAACAGAAACCGGTCTTCATATCACCCTCCATCAAGCTTTTTAATCTTCTTTTAACATGCAGACATTAACATAAAAAGGTACTTCTCCGGAGTAACACGAGTTAACATGCCTGCTGGCATCAAATATTGTTTTCTTTAACCGTACGTTCCTCCTTGGCTGTTGCTTCTGTATTGGATAGCTACATGCACTGCTCTGTGTGTGTGTGTGTGTGTGTGTGTGTGTGCGCG